ATATATATATATATATAGATATAGATATATATATAGATATATATATATATATATAGGAGTAGACTGATAGGACCAGCATGCACCGGGGTGGGCTTATAGTTTTTACCTGCACTGCACAGGACAGGAGAGACAGCACTGACAGGAGTTTTGTTAGTTCGTTTGTTTGCTTGTTTTGTTTGCTTTATTTAATAAACACGAAAATCGGAATCCTGCATGGACAATCCACTCTCTTCTGGCTGCGTAAGAATACCGACCACGGTGCATCAGTGGCGTTTGATTATTGTTTGTTTAAGTTTGATTAAGTCGACAAATGGCCACTACAATTGTGTACAGGTCTGTACCTCCGTCAATGCCAAAGCACAGGTCCACAGTCAAAAACTGCCAAACCACTGTCACAGGAGAGAGTTCCACCTGCTTCAAGACAGCCACCATCGTCCCTACAGCTAAAAGGTCTGCAGTGTCCAGTCTAAAGGACTATCGCCCTGTGGAACTCACCCCCATTCTGTTCTCCAGCATGTCAAAAACAACATCCCAGCCAGCCTGGACCCTCACCAGTTTGCATACAGATCATTCCATACGTCATGACTCTTATCTGTATTATTTTGCAGCACCAGTAACAGGCCTGCTGCTGTTCAAAGCTGCTCTCCTTTCCCACAGTCAGTGCAGCATTACGCTGAACATGTGAGTGAAAATGACAGATGTATTTTAGGAGAGGACCGTGCTTTCCTCCATGGGGACCTTCAATGATCACCATGTTGGCCCTACATTCTTCTTATTGCTGAGACATAAATGGCCTCAGTGACAGGCCCTCAGCTGGAACCCTGTAAGGGTCTCTGTGTTTGCCATCTGGCTTCATCCGAGTTACTCTGAAAGGTTCAGCTTGTGTAGTGATGAGCTTCAGTAGCCACTAACTACACTTTCTGCTCATTCTGACTTGTAAAAGCTATTTAGAGGTCATTGGTGATGGGGTTCACATATTCCTATTAGGATTTTTTTATACTTTTATTATTATCTAATAAATATGCCAATTTGGAAACCAGTTACTGGAGTGTTATTAGTTTACATAGTGTATTTGTAGGGCTGGGTGAATTCAATACTAGCATTTATCATCTTTCGAAGGATGAAATCATACATCAAGATATCGTGATACACAGGTACGTCGTCTAAACTCATAATAACAAGCATATTGTAACTCAAATGTCTCAGAAAATATGATGATTTTGATAAAGTTTTAAGTAAATGAGCAAAAACTTTTCATTTGTCAAGTATTTAATTTATACAAAATAACAATGTGGTCATTTCATATAGACTTTTAAACATTGAATTACCAGAAAATGCTCTCTTGAGACCCAGCAATTCATTTTTGTACACTGTAGTGCACATTATGTTTTTGCTAATTCCTCTCATACTACACATGTCACTCTATTGAGATACCGGACACACACATTCCAGGGTGAATTGTAGAAATGAAGAAAACCAAGAGTAATGTCTTCACTCTCTTGCCTTACCGTTTGGCGCACACTGTAGAACAGAACCTCTTGGACCTTTTGAAGACATAGGCGAAGTCCACCTTCCCACACAGCTCACAGGTCAGCATGGGTTCCTTCTGGGCCTTTAGCTCTGAGGGAATACAGCCAAAACACACTCAGACCAACACCAGCAGCGGCACCATCACCGGTCCCTCCCTACCTCGTAGAGACATGGGGTACATCCCGAGTCTCTTAATTGTCATTTCCTCGCTCCTCGCTTGAACCGGAAGTTGTTCTGCTCCGCCATATTGACGGCCGTCCCAAAGCTCTTATTTAGATCGGGGAGCGAGGAGCACATCCCAAGTCTCTTAATTGCATCCCCATTTCCCTCACTTGGGTCCTTTCCCTGCGTCTTAGTCCCTCCCACCAGGGATGCATGGAGGAAACCATGCGAGGAGAGAGGAAACGAGGAAATATGTTTTAAGAGACATGAGACATCCTTTCCTCAGTTGTGTCAGAAGCGACGTCTGTTTCTGATGACGGTGGCAGATGATCACAGCTGGATCAGCTGTCGGTCGGCTTTAACAGCTGGAGAGACTTTTGATAAGTTTGTGTCTGTTCACATGATCACTGTACTTACTAATAGTAACTAATAATACTAATAACTAATAAAGACACAGTAATCACCACTGTAGAGGTGTTTCTCTCTGTAGTCTGTTACCTCTTAACAAATGTGTTCTGTTTAGAAGCGCAGGATCGATTTCTACAGCAGAATGCGTTTGTACGTCTTTAAATTCTGATTGTGAAGTCATTATTAGTTAACCCAGAATATGATTATGGTTTCACTTGAACACTGGAATTACTTTATTAAGCTCCATGTTTCAGGTTAAAATGATAAGACTCATCAAATCCGACACAGGAATGATCCGCCTCACGTGACTGAATGAAATGATGATAAATGACGTAAAAAGTGTTTAGTCTCTCAGCTCGCTCTGACTTTAATTGTATCCATAATAAAAGTTAGTGAGGGAAATATCAGATCATGAAAAGACAAAACTTTCTAATAAATGAAGAAAGTTGTTTGTGGTCCTTTTGTTGTTCAGTCTACAATGAACATTTATTTAAACCAGATGGTGAATCAGAAAACAGGATCCCCTCAATCCCCAGGATCCCCAGGATCGAGGAGGGATCTCTGAGGAGCCATGAGCGAGGACCCACGAGAACAGCCTTCCAGGAAGTATTTTAACGGCTGACACGCCCCCTCATTGTTCATCAGTCATGTGATTGGACGCTGCAGCCGATCGGACTGATGAGATTTTTTTCAACATGTAAACAGTTAAGACGGATCACAGATTAAACTCAAGCTTTATATTTGATTTGTTTTCTGATTCAACATCTGGTTTAAATACAGTAAATGTTCATTGTAGTCTGAACAACAAAGGGACCACAAACAACTTTCTTTATTTATTAGAAAGATTTGTGTTTTGATAATCTGATGTTTCCCTCAATAACTTTTATTATGAATACAATTAAAGTCAGAGAGAGCTGGAGAGATGAAACAATTTTTACATCATTTAATTCAGTCACGTGAGGCTGATCATTGCTGTGATCATTTAACCTGAAACATGGAGCCTAATAAATGAATTCCAGTGTACAAGAGAAACCATCATATTCTCATATTCTGGGTTAATTAATAATGACTTCACAATTAGAATTTCAAAACGTACACTCAAATAATTCATAAATAAGACAAATGCATTCCGCCGTAATCGCGCTTATAAACAGAACAGTTTGTTAAAGAGTAACAGGCTACAGAGAGAACACACCTCTACTCTGGCAGTGAAGATAATTGTGTCTTTATTAGTTATTAGTATTATTAGATACTATTATTAAGTACAGTGATCATAGTCATAGTGCCCCCTGTAGCTGGGATGCAGGCATTGTACAGGACTGTCATGGAGAGGAGGGAGATGAGCCTGAAAACAAAGCTCTCAGTTTACTGGCTGATTTACATCCCAGCATGCATCTGTGGTCATGATCTCAAGAAGAATGAGATCGCTTATGCAAGATGCCAAAATGAGTGCTAAGTCCAATCGTCTAACAGCAGGTAGAGAGCAGTGAAGCTGTGCTACTGGTCTGAGAACTTTATATCTACACAGCTTTACCTTTTGCTGAGAGGCCGTCCATCTTTGAGTCTGCAGTGTGTCTCCTAAGGCTCTCGATGGAGAAAGATGGACGTTCCACCTGCAGACAGACAAAACACACTTCATCATAGCAGCTGATACTGTTGCACAAAACAAAACAAAGTGACCGAGAGCTCAAGGATAGATTGCCATGAAAAGTTGTTTTTGTCTTTATCTGCAGAAAACACAAAAGCAATGGGTGGAAACGGTGTGTTAGAGAGTGATCAATGCTTTTGATCAGTTCGATGTGTGCGTGTGTGGAGCTTCAGTGTATCACCTGGTGACAGCAGTGTGGACTGATGGTTTTTCACCACGTTCTCATGCCTGTACCTTTTCAGAGATAAAAACAATCTATCTGGTCAGCATGTTTGAGAGCGGCCACTACAGACAGCCGACTCACAGGTCTCTGACTATCGTCCCTGTCTGTCATGTGATGATCTGATTCTGTGTACTGGGACATTACAGAAGGACACGTGCAGGGCTGCGGTACTCACGGGGAAAGGCTCAGCCCCCTCCTGGATAACGAAGCCTTCTATCAGATGGGTGAGGATGTGGGACTTGACTAAAGCCTGGGCCGTTTTGCTCTCTCCATTGTGTTGGCTGCTGTTGCTGTTAGTGTTCCCATTCCCAGAGGTCATGACTGGAGCACAGGCCGCCCCTCACCTGTCAACACAAGCAGCAAGGCAAACTCGTCAAGCCACGTGGACCTGGGACCAGGCCCCCACTGCTGCTGATCAAACACACAAAGAATGCAATGCGAATGCAGCTGTTTACTGTTGCCCAGTGTTTTGTCATATGCACTAGTGCTAGTATCAGCTTGCTTGACATACAACAGGTGTTTTTTTAAACTCTTTGAGAACCATTTTTTATTTGGTAAAAGTGGTTAAAGTTGTTTTGTAAGTTGCTGACTTTGCACTTGCAACAAGTTGTCTTCTTGCACTTAGTCATGGGGATTCAGTTGTAAAGTTGAATGCATGCCGATGTAAAGTGTGGCCCATCATGTGTCACACTCTGAATGCAGTCTGGCATGTCATTCTCTCCGCACTGGGATCACTGGTGTTGAACAGCTCGGTCTACTCTTTGCCCTCATTTGTTCCACTTTGTTGTCCTTGTTCTCAGCTGTTTTGTCTGTTTCTGTGTAAGTACATTGAGAGCAATGAAAAAGTCGAATTCATGAGTCAAATTCCTTATATATGCCAATAAAGGATCACATTGTGTGTAACGCTACACACAATGTTGTTGTGGAAACCCATCGGTTCAATATCAAGCTGTGATTGTTAAACGAGAAAAGACTGATTAAATATCTGCTATACACAACAATGATCACGTTGTCTAGCTGGAACGCCTTGTATCAAATCAATGTAGCCCAGTGGTTACTTGGATTGGCTAGTTGAATGTGTGAATGAATTAAACTAACGTAACTACACAGCATTAAAGTCCACGCGTCCATGGCCCTTTTAAAAGAAGAAAGACTTCAGAGTAGTTCGCTTACTTCTACAGACGGACCACCTCTGAATCGGTGAGAAAAGAGGCGCTCCGCTCCGTAACAATGGTAACGTTAGAGGGAAGAAAAACTCTTTGTTTAACGGCTCCAAACAACTCGTTCATTTACTTACACTCCCTCCGCCAAAACGGCGAGGAGCCGGTCCGCCACTTGTAACGCTGACAAATGTCCGAGCAGCTCAACGAGCCGCGAGTGAACTTACACGAGAACATGCAAAGTTAGCAACTGCTTCATATCCTCACTATGCTTCAGCTTTCTCCTGATTCCAACAGCAGACACAACAATCCTCTTGTCGCGTGCGTGTGTGGTTCACTGGAAGGATTTCCGGCAACAACCTTCAGAATAAAAACCTATATGGATAACGATATTAGTTTATTTTTTTTGCATCAATTTCGACTAGCACCACTAACGTTTATTCTTGAACGTAGTTTGAAAGAATACCCAGTTAAAATATTTAACCGAAGGAATTGCCAGTTATCATACGATTGAAAGCTTCGGATATAAAAGCTAGTAAGCGGATTCGTGGACTTTAGAGGCGGACCAGGTTTTAGTTTCCTAAATTTGCACTGGGCGCCTGGTGCTCATGCCTTTATTCTGAAAGCATCGTTACATTACATTACATTACAGTCATTTAGCAGACGCTTTTATCCAAAGCGACTTACAATTCAGAGTCTATCACATTTCTACACCGTAGGCACAGCTACGGGAGCAATTTTGGGGTTAAGTGTCTTGCTCAAGGAGACATCGACATGCGACTAGCAGAGCCGGAGTTCGAACCGCCGTCTGATTGAAAGAGGGCCCTGCTATCCACTTAGCCACAATCGCCCCACAATCGTGTTGTGGTTTGGTATTATCCTGGCTTCGAACGTTGACTACATTATATTAACATACTACTAGCATTAGCCTAGTAAGTGGAAAGCAGTCTGGTCTGTCTGACTGCTGTGTGGGAACTAAATAAGAGGCTAAATAAGTCCAGGCTGAGGACACTGTACAAATGAGCTTCCAATTACAAATTTAGACCAATATAATTGATAAACACCGTTAAATATTGTTCACTCAGTGAAGTGTATCATCTTTAAGTAGCAGTGAAGTTCACTGCCACTTAAAGATGATACATGCTGTACGAAATGAGAAAGTCAGCTTTGAACTGGCATAAAAAACCCTGAGGTGTGTAAATTAGATACATGAAACCCATATTAATAGTGTTCATTCAATGAATAATTCTGTACTGTAGCCTATTTACATTTTTTATGCAAATACATGTCTTTTTTCACTATATGTTCAAAACACAAACAATTGAAATGCAATTTAAAGATGAATAAACAGACCTCAGACACAGTGTCAACATTTGAATATTAAATTAAATTAGGTTAAATCGTACACTATTTATAACTGTATCTGGCACATGTTCAGTCATGCTGACGAATGAACACTGTCCTTATGATTCATTTAAAAACGTTTATTTTGAAGTGTGCAACCGGAAGTTGAGAAGACGCTGCTGCAGACTTGGAACCTCCACTGACATCTAGAAGCGGGACCACTCGTCAGTGCGGTCCTCTGCAATGATTGTCCTGTGAGGCCACCGTCAGAGAGAGTAGCCTAACTGCAGCACGAGTCTTATGTCATCGCTGGATTTGATGACAAAAGAGTGTTTAGCTTCTGGGACCCTGTCCCCGGCCTCCCTTCAAAGAAGGTTCATAAAGAAGAGGAGGGTCGCTCCGTGGGCGCAGCAGGATGCGGACAGCGACTGTCAGCTGTGCAGGTGAGACTCACAAAACTGTCCCAGAAAGTTTCAATTCACTGGAATCTAATCTACTGTTTCAGCTGCTAGTTGAGCTTTGATTTGACTAAATCTAGTTGTGATAAAGTTGTGTAAAGATGATTAAGACATCATCATAATTCTTTAAAAAACATTAATTCACTTAATCAGTGACAATTTCTTTTTCTTTTCTGTTTTAAGATCAAGCTCTTAAAATATGTAGCTTGTCATTCCATATCTGTTTCATGATATCTTAGGCCATGTCTGCTTTTACAAAAAGGAAGGTGACCATTGTCCAACCATTTGTTACTAAATTGCTCCCTCTTAAGCACAAACTATTCTGTGTCCATATGTCGTCATCTGCCCATGCCTGTGAGGGTTTGCACGGTTTGAACTTGTGCGGCCCTAAATGTATGACCGAGCTGACTTTAGTTGTGGCTCGATCACCATCTGCACAGGTGTGAACACATCACGCAGGCATTTAGACTTACATGTACATCCGTCGCCCGTTTATGCACCCATCTTTGTAGTCCGGCGCATCACTTCGTAACTATTTTAGCATATAATAAGGAGCCCATGGAAACCCCCACTCCCCACACATTTTCATGTTGTCATTGGGGGTGTGCATCTGACATTTCTTTGTAAAAACCAACAATGCCACAAATATTTTCACTTCATGTAGTAGTTTGCCAGGTGTGAAGGTGAGAAAGTATGCAATTTTGTCTTTGTACATGTTTGGAGGCTTAAGTCTAAGCCTCCTTCAGTAATTCATCCGTTATATTCCTGCTTTTCCAGGTGCTCCATATATTCCCTGTCTGGCAGTAGTCGCTCTGTTCGGCGGATTTTGACAGCCTGCATCCTCTCTTTCCTGGCACTGCTTGGCTCTGTATCCATAGACCTCAGCTCCAGCTTTGACCTGCTGCACACAACAGAGGCTGCTTACGATGAGCTTACTTCATGTAGGACGAAAGCTATCCTGCAACACGTCAGTAAGCTTCAAAAGATGAGACATGTATTCACCAAAGACATGGGCAATGAGACATTGCAGGCAAGTTTTTCAGAGATTGTGTTTCCTGTGTTCGGTCATCTCTGTGGTGAAATGGCAGTTCAAAGCAATAGCCATGGGATCCCTTGTAGTGTTGAGTTGGCTGGATTTTGCCAAGAGTTGAGGTGGAGCGTTCAAGGATTTCTAAATACTTCTATGGATACAAATGGCACAAGTGAAAATGGTACCTCTGCTTACTCCCTGGCCATCGGAAGACTTCTTGACATCTGGGGTACCGTAGAAGATACTTTAATCAAAGTCAAACTGAATTCAAACTGGAGAGATGTACTGTCTGCAAGACTACTGATACAATTCATAGAGCTCAACCATCAGTTGATGGACTTCCCCCACATGGCAACTCACACTGACTTCCAGTATAAGTGGACTTATGTACTAAGCTACCTTGGCTTTGCCAGAGTTATGACAGAACAACTGAATGACTGCTGGGTAGAGAACATAGACCTCAAGTTAAACTCAAGCCAGCATGTAAAACATTCTTATATTTTTGACACAAGTCTTTGGCTGATCTCTGGAGCAGGGACAGAGCTTCTGTCGGGGTCTCACACTGGAATTCAGGCTCTGACATACACTCAGAATTGCTTGTTTGATCGTGCGGTGCCGGCTCTCAGGTTGACGTCTCGAGCCGTGTCTTCGGGCCTCAGTATGAGGGTCTGCCTGCTGTCCATAGCCTGCCTCATCTACCCGGTAGTGATGGTCTCATTCAAGCAGATGACCGAGTGGATACAGAATTACGCCCAGAGCTTGAAGGAGAAGACAGAGGACCTGAAGCGCCAAAGGCAGTTGGCTGAGGATCTGCTGCACCAAATGCTACCCAAGTCAGTCGCCAAGCAGCTCCGCCGGCATAAACATGTCGAGGCAGAGAGCTATGAGAAGGTTGGTGCAATGGCAAAGAGTGAATTTATTTATCTCATTGTGTATGGCTCAAGTACAGGTTATAAACTAGATGATTGAGAGGTGTGAAACCCTTTTCACACCTGAATGGACCAATGTGCTACTCACTGATTGGTCATTGCAAATAAGGCAGCTATTTTGGAAACATCACTTTTCTCACTAACTATTTACCAAAACCAGTTCAAAATATTTTTGAGATGACAAACTGGTTCTGCAGTTGAATTATCATGTTTTGTTGTTTATCTTCAATTCCTGTTGCCAGACTCCAATGATCTCTAGGGGCTGACTTCCCGACTGAAATCTTGGAGGGACGAGTGAGCTTGTAAGATGTAGTCCGGTTCTTTCTACAGCAACGTGAAAAAATAGCAAGCGCTTGGGGCAACAATGCGCTCTTAAATTTACGATGTATCAGCAAAAATAATAGTGAAAGAGCCAAGTTTCCCTGAGTTGATTGGGAACAGATGTTAAATCGCAGGACTTTGGGCATAGGTCAAATAACCAGCCTGAGGTGGGCAAAGCTTGGATTGGAAGTAGAGCTCAATACTGCTTGGAAAAGCAGGTCATTAGTTTGATCCCTGGAGGTGCAGGGTAAATCTTGGCTGGGAGGTGAAAGAGTAGTATTGCTTTTTGACTTCATGTCATCCGTAAGCTAGGAGCACATTCTGCTGCCTCCCACCTCCTGTTGTTGCTCTACAAAAGCATAATTCAACCAGTCCCGCTGTACTGTCCTCTGCTTCTTCACCAAAAACAAGCTTCTCAGCATCACACTCACTGTCTCGAGAACCGACACACGCCTAGCACTCACAATATCAAATGACACTGATCACCACCTAAACACTTAACATTACTTCCTTCTGGTCGGGGATACAGAACACTTAGATCAGGGGTCTCAAACTCATTTTCACTCCGGGCCACATCAGCATCATGGTCGCCCACAAAGGGCCGGTTGTAAATGTAACTACTCGTAACATATTGTTAAATAACTGTCTCTGCATTTGATTATTGTTTATTCAAGTGTAAAAATATTGTACATGCAGTTATATAAATGTAAAAATATATTTAAGCACATTTCTGTTATTATAACTTAAATCCTTTTAATTTAGGGTTAAGAAACCCACATTACTCTATCAAAGATCAAACTATTAAAGAAAATAGCAAAGACAAATATCAAACAAGTTATTACAATAACTTTGTTCAAAGCTTAAAATCCTTTCAAGGGTGCGTTTGCACAATCCCACGTGAAGTATTTCATGTGTTTTAAAGCCACGTTTAAAGTAGTCTTCAATGTACTCACAATACATTTCCATGTCAAATGTACAGTAACCAGCCAAAGAGCTGCTTCTATGACTGTGTGTTTAAGTATCTCATAATTTTGACTTTCAATCTCATAATTTTGACTTTCAATCTCATAACTTCGACTTTCTATCTCATAATTTCGACTATGGGGATATTTTTATTATGAAGTCTAACTTTTTTTTTTTTTTTTTTAACTTTTTTTAAAATTTTTGCTCGCGGATTCGCGGGCCACATAAAATGACGTGGCCGGGAGTTTGAGACCCCTGACTTAGATGGTCCATACCAGGACCTCTCTTTGACCCTCAACACTTCAACAAGAAAGCTCACCAGCTTAACAATTGCATCTCAGTATGGTACCAGAAAGCACTGCAGAGGTAAAAGCTGCCCAGTGCATCACGGTACTCTACTCCCTACCATTTAGGCTACCCAGAACAAAAGGTTACTGTGGAGGGTGCATAAGAGACACCTCTCACCCTGGCCAAAGACTATTTGGACTTGTTGGTGGTGATTTTGGTACTCAACCCTGGACTTGTTAATTTGGATTTGGGACGTGACCAAGGACTTGTTGGTTTGGACTTGGGAATTGGCTTTGGGACTTGACCTAGACCTGTTGCTCTTGACTTAGATGTTATCGGCTCTGACTTGGTACTTTAATTACTTACTTGTGACTATGAAAACAACTTTTCGTTGTGCTCCCTCTTTGTGTAATCTTTCTTTCCAAGAATAACAAACCCCAAGGTGTTAAAGTGTTAATGGAACTGTTGATTGTTAAAAAAGACTGCAACAGCTGCTGATAATATAACATTGTTTTGCTTTTAATGTCCATGAGGGAAACTCATCCTGCAACAAGGCATGATAAAAACAACTGCAATACATATGCAAACGTTGAAGGCAAAAGGTAGAAACAGACAACACTGTTGAAGACAGATAAGACAATAACCTTTCCCCTCCACGCTCCTCCCCATTCACTTCTAACATTCAACCAAACGAATTCAGACCTCATAATGTTGTGAGGGTTGTGGGGTGCTGCTGCAAAGAACAGCTACCTCTGCAAGATCTGCAAACATGATGAATGAATGTGTGTGTTTGCTGCCTTTGTTGCTATTGTTGGCGTAATTACCTATAATTGCCCTGTTCCATATTCATCAGGAGATAAAACAAGTTATTTGGGTGAAAATTGAAGAGGTTGGAAGCAGCTGTACCAGAAGCACTCTGTGTGTGTGTGTGGGGGGGGGGGTCCTATTCAGCTGTTACTGAATAGGACCACGGCTTATTTTTGAACAGATCTTGAAATAAAATCTGTAAAACAAGTTTTGAAGATCTGTATGGTAAAGACAAAGTGACGAGCAATACAAAAAAATGAAAATTAAAGATGGAAAATATCAATTCTGTTTAGCTTATTACGTCCTGACAATTTTACTTGTTCTATTGATGCTTTTGTCTCTTATTCTTGATCAAGTTAAATAAATCCTTCTTCTTTTTTGGACATATTGTGACCAGTGCCAGATAATTAGTTGATATTTGTACAGTGGTGGAAAGTAAAATAAGTACACTTACTCAATCAGGTACTTGTGTTGTACTTGAGCATTTCTATTTACTTAATACCTCTCTTTCACTAGATTTCATGAAGAGATATTGCACATTATTACATATTGTATTGTACTTCTGTACTTTTACTCAGGATTTAAAATGGAGGACTTTTAATAGCATGTTTACATTGTTGTATTGGTATTTTTACTTAAGTAAAGACAATATTTGTTCCACGAGAGAGAGTTAATGATTCAACTGTATAATGTTGGAGGACGATGTTTGTTTTGCTGAAAATTAAATGTACTTTGTCATACAAAAATGTGTATTTTATTTAATTGTTTTACCTATACCCTCATTGATATAAGGGGTGGACAAAATAACAGAATCACCTTTACATTATAACTTTCATGAAGGTAGGATTTATTGTAGGATTGCTAGGTTCACTGTGTAAGAATGAATATATTTGCCCAGTTTTGTCCAGTACAGCCAATACCTTTGCACACTGATGAAGTCAGCTCTCTATATTTTGTTCCAGGTGACCATTTTTTTCTCAGACATTGTGGGCTTCACCTCTATCTCTGCGTCCTGTGCTCCTCTTCAAGTGGTGGAGATGCTCAACAACCTCTACATGTGCTTTGACACACGCATAGACTCCTACGATGTCTACAAGGTAACAATAAAATGTCACGCGCATGCACAGAAAGTTAGGAGAATACAGTAGTTGGGTAGCACACACAAGCTTTATTCTACTGACCAAACATGAAAAAGGTGCAGCTCAGTAGTTTCAGTTGTTGTTCAGCCTGCAGTTCCAGCCTCACTACACTGGTCATCCCTCTGTTAGATAGCCACTCTTCACTGAGTGCAGCTGTGCAGTGGGGCAACCAGGTGTTGTACCTCGTTCCTCTCTTTCAGGGAACAGAGGTTATCGTCACAACATTTCGTTCCCTTACAGTCAATTTACTCGTTACAACACACGGGACATATATTCACACCCCAAAAGGACAGAATGAGCCACAATAGGGGCAGTCACATCCAAACCGAGCAAAAGTATGCAGCGGCACAGATATCACTGACAGATACACCTTTAGATAAAGCCCCTCATGTTGCCATGCCCCTGGTTGAATGCGCCCTCACGTCGTGAGGCAATGGAAGACCTTTGTCTCTACAATCCAGTGAGAAATCTGAGAAATCCCAATCTGAGTATGGTGTATGTAGGACATGCACAAGACACAGGAAATGCAACCTCCCCTGTTCCTCTGTAGCAAAAGGAGGGCGAAAAGCCATAGAGCTATAGAATGCCGGGATCAAAGCCAGCATGACAAGTAAATATAGCTGCCAAACAGAGCTTAATTGTGGAAAAGGATAAGATAGAGCAGGGGTTCTTAACCTTTTTGACCTCGGGGCCCAACTTTTCAAGTACAAAGTGTCCCGGGGCCCATTCAAATATTAACACTATTAGTTTAACTAATTGATCTCACTCTTGGTTTGATTTGTATTCAATAACTATATTGTTACCTGTTCAACTCCACCCCTATTTTGGAGCAAAACCGCCTAAAATGACATACCCAAATTAAAATGGCTGTAGCTTCTGAACCACTCTGACTATATGCATCAAAAGTGTCAGAAAACCTGTAGGTCATACAGAATCAGAGCAGTGGGCCTTTGGAGTCAGTAAAAATTGAAGATTTTTGTCCGCATAAAATAAAAAAATATCTTTCAGTATAAATAACTGCCTGTGGCTGTATCTGTACATTTGAAGAAGATTGGACAAAGTATGACCATTCTACAGTGTTTCTTCCATGAAGAGATCCAGGCGGAGCTCTAAAAGGATATTTAGAGACCCAAATGGACACATGGTAACCAAATGATATTCTGACACACTAAAGGTGTTTCTCCCTTTATATTTTGATATTATAGTATTTTCCTTTTATTTTTAGCCTTTGCAAATTGCAAAATCTATGTATATATGGTCGAAGACTTGGTGTGCGTAATGGCTGCAACCGAGCGCATGTTCGAGCATGGGGGTAGCTTATAGAAGGGGAAGATAAGGTTTGTAATATAAGTACTAGCGTTTTCTGAAGCCACTAGCTCCATGGTAACATCCGCTAGCACATTGTCGGGTCTGTAATGTGTATTTTTCAGTCGAAATGCTGCAAGATCCGACTTTCAGCGGTTATGGCGACTTTGGATAGTGTGTGTTTGGGCTCCTTTTGTGAAAAATCCATAAGAAATGAAAGAAAATCGATGATTTCTTTGCAAAGATGAGGAGTTTGGGCATGCTGGGATACCAAACACGGCCATGTTTTGTGACGTAGTTTGCGCAAGCAAGCCGTAGGAACGGGAGGGGATCGAGGACGCCGGTGTCCTCGCGGAGTTGAACAGGCAAAACCCTTGTCAAATAAATGAGATGATACAATGTGATGATCACAAAGACATTTATTTATCATGTGTATGTAAACCTGCATACACAACAAGAAGCCCAACAGGCTTTCCCACGAGCGTTGGATGTTTCGTCGCTAGGTGTCGCTTTATTTTTGAAGGCTTCAGTGCTTCGTTTGGTAGCATTAGCCCACATTCCACACACTGAGCCCTCGGCTCTGCCTCGTTGCCTCCGTTCACAAAGCCGTACTTAAGAAAGTCAGGATTGTACTTGCGCACACATTTAGACTTTTAGGGGGGTATGGCACCACTGTGGTCTTCATTTTTTCTTTTTAAAAACGTATCCATAACTTTCGCTACAGGCTAGCGGCTAGCTGAGTGTAGTCTTCTGCTTATTGGAGCTTGTTAAACAACTGACTGACGCATTACCGCCACCAGGTGGTGGGAAGCTATATTGTAACTGAGCATCTCATGGTTAACAGTAATATCTCTGGTGTCTTCAATTGATAACCTATGCGGTCCCGCGGCCCTCGCGGCCCTCAGGTGCAAAACTGAAAGTTTTTTGCGGCCCTCTAGTGGCGCTCGCGGCCCAATCGTTGCCCCATGGTTAAGAATCACTGAGATAGAGCACTGAAATGGGAGTAAACTTCAGTCCAGACGCCAGTGCCCAAACGCCCGCCATTTACAGGCACATAGGCCTCTAGTGCATGATGCGCTCTTAATCTGGATCGTTGCCACCACACTTTGGGGTAGATCCATAGCTATAAAATTGGACCTCTCAACAGATATGCATGCAGCCGGCACAGTTCTGATCGCGGATGAACCACTTCCCCTCCTGCTTGAGAGAGGAGGGGAAGTGGGCCTCGCCGCCAACAGACTGATTATCTCGGCATACCACAATTTGCCGGCCACTGAGGGGCCACCAGAATCAGGGACAGACCCTTTCCACACCCCTTCTAGAACAGGCAGTCAAATTTCCACTGGGGGAATGCATACAGGAGCATGTTGGGCCACCGGTGTGCATCCAGTCCAGAGGTGCTACAGAGGGTACTGGGTATTTGCCCTGGAGGCAAAGAGGTGGTGTTCTGCCTTGCCGAAACGATTAAAGCCACCATTAAATAGTACAACTTCCGCTCTCTTACAAGAGGTCCCCCTGGAGCACCGCCCTTTGGGAGGCATCTGTTGACACCACCTCGCGAAAGACATCCTCCCTTTAGGGGAGCCCTGGCACAGTAAACCATAGTTCCCTTCAAGGGAGGAAAGCCTCCTCTTGTCAGCCCACGAAAAGAAAACTACTGACTCACTTCACTGAGAAGCCCAGAGCTTGAATGTGTGACAAGCAGGACAGCTGCACTGCCTGCTCTCTGGAGCCTATCGGAGCCAAATCATCAAGATAAGCTAAAATGCAAATGCCTCTGTCGAAATGGTTCCCACACAGTGGTATTTCTTCCCTCACTACCACTGCTGCCTCGTTCCCTAAAACCATGTTCATTTTGGAGAGGAAATGGGGTGGTCAGACCTGGAACTGCAACTTGTACTTTGCAGTGTTTTAAACAAAAAATGCAACCTTTATTGAATTTCCTAAATTAACAGTTACAACATTCACACGGTGTACAGGAGGCATATTTGAGCACTGAAAATCATGACAAACATAGAGAACACCTGCTGTGGTCACCAAATTAATATTTAGTGCACCCAAACTGGGGACTACATTTGTGTGCATGGGGGGGTTGTACTTGGGCAACACCTTTAGGACTAAACCCCTGAATGAAACATTGAAGGCGCCTCTTGGGCAGCAACGGATGAGGGGGACTTCAATGCAGCTGGATGCAGCTCTCAATGTAGTCCCAGGGCTAGGGGGAGTGTGGTTTCATCCTCCTATGTGCTTACCCCCCCGGAGGTGGGCCCTTGCTCCAAGCCGAATAGCCGACTCCCCAGCTGGAAACCTGAACTGGCAGATGGTGTCCTCTTGGGGGGAAGCGGTGGCATTGCAGGCTTGCGGGTGCTCACAGTCTGGGAATCAGAATCAGAATCGGAACCAGAACCATTTATTGCCAAGATATGTTGCACATACAAGGAATTTGACATGTCGGGTGGTGCATAACATTAAACAATCAACAACAATCAACACAGTGAAAAAAGAAGAAACATATTAAAATGTACAGTAAAATATAAAATAAAGTGCACAAACGAACAGATAACAGGACTGTAAACAAGTGAGATGTACAGTAAGTGTAATGTAAAAGTGTCGAGTGTATTTAAGTAAGAAACCTAGAGGGGATGTGCAGGGGATTGACCAGTAGGAAATTGTCCTGGGGATGACACAGTCAGTGGGGGTCCCGGGCTATGTTGATGAGCCCAACTGAAGACGGGGAAAAAACTGTTCATGTGGCGTGAGGTCTTGATCCTCATGGACCGCAGCCCCCTGCCAGATGGAAGGGGCACAATCTTTCTTGCTCGCTTCAGGGTCCTTGAAGCAAACAAGTCCTGGAGGGACGGCAGATTGCAGCCAATCACCCTCTCGGCAGAGCGAATGATGCGCTGCAGTCTGCCCTTGTCCTTGGCTGTGGCTGCAGCGTACCAGACCGTGATGGAGGAGCAGAGGATGGACTCAATGATGGCTGTGTAGAAGTGCAACATCATTGTCTTTGGCAGGTTGAATTTCTATAGCTGCCTCAGGAAGTACATCCTCTGCTGAGCCTTCTTGGTGATGGAGCTGATGTTAAGCTCCCACTTGAGGTCCTGGGTTATGATGGAGCCCAGGAAGCGGAAGGACTCCGCCACGTCGACGGGGGAGTCACACAGGGTGATGGGGGCAGGTGGGGCTGCATTCTTCTGGAAATCCACAACCATCGCCACTGTCTTTAGAGCGTTGAGCTCCAAGTTGTTCAGACTGCACCAGGTCACCAGATGGTCAGTCTCCCACCTGTAGACAGACTCATCCCCACCAGAGATGAGTTCAATGAGGGTGATGTCATCCGCAAACTTCAGGAACTTGACGGACTGGTGACTGGAGGTGCAGCTGTTGGTGTAATGTTGGAATTATGTTGCACAGAGCCCCTGTCTGCTTCCTCTTCAGCTCAAACTTTGCCTGGATGGTGTCACCCCTCAGCACATTCTGGCTCATCCAGATAGACCGCCCTGTCCCTATCCGGAAGAGAGTCAGCCACAGGTGTTTTTGTGCCATCACCATAGACGCTATCCCTCTGCCCACGGAGAGTGCTGCACAGAGGGTCGCATGGAGATTGTGACCTGTGGCAAGTCTGACCTCATTAAGAAGAGGTACCAGTGGACCGTCGGGGGGGCAACAGTCTAACCAGATCTGCCAGATGCATCGTCTGGTATGTCTGGAGCATGGTGACAGTGCTTGCCTTTGCTCGGTAGATCTTCTCCAGCTAAGGACGGCTCCATAGGTGCAGGATTGACCATGCCAACTGTTTCTGCTCACTGTATTGTGAAATGGGTAGACAGTGGTTTATACCATCACCTGATCAACTCTGAGACTAAATCTAGGCCCTTTTTGACTATTGACGGCTCCGGGGCTCCAGCTTCTGAGACCGCAAAAGAGAGAGCTACTCTCTAGTTACTTGCATTGCGGTAAAGTGAGAGGAAGGATGTGTCGTCCTGGCCAACCGACACAGCAGCAGCGGCACACCGGCACAACGACAAAGCCTGCAGTTCAACCTCTGACAAGCTATGCATATCCAAGCCAATGTCCGGCCCCTCATCGTCATCATGCCGAGCTGTCTTCTATGTATTTCATGTTGTCAGCCCAGCTACCAGACTTCCATTAAGAGCTCTTCGCTGTCGGACTCGGACAATGCTGAGTCCCTTGACTCAGAGAGGTTGCTGCCGTTGCCGCTTGGGGTAAACCCATACATTTTGAGAATAATGTGTCCAAAATAATATCATTAATATATATACAGTATATATATATATGGAATTAAGGGGGATGCCATAACATACTGTAAATAAAATGAATAAGATCCTGTCATATCTGAAACAAATTAAGACTGGACAATACAGACTCTGAAAAACTGAAAAGAGATTGGGTGGGGCAAATATATGACAGTACATTCTCTTCCAGAAATTGAGGAGTAATAATTCTTCAATCGACTAAGAGATCCACGTGTGGACCAATCTTTGCAGTCTAAACATGATAATACGAGAAAGCTTTAGACACAATGTCAGACAAGCTGGCTTTGATAGATATCTGGAGACGACTGCATCCTCTTGAAACAGAACATACACTCTGCTTTCACCCACATACCCTTTTACTACAAAATAGACTACCTGACTACTGAAAGGCAGACACTCATCTGATAATCTTTGCAGATCGTTATGTGAGAAGTTAGGAATGATGCTCAGCCCTTGTCGTCTAGAAGGCATTTGAAGGTTGAATTTGCATTCCTCTTCTACAGTCTAAAACAGTTTTCCTTTGGTACATCATTCATACAATGGGTGAGTTTATTATATATACAGACCCAATGGCAACTATATTGACTAATGGTATAACATCATGATCTTTTCAATTAGAATGCAGCAAAAGACGGGGGCACAATTTCTTAAAACCACGGCCAATTGCATTACATACCAATTCAAATATTAAAGGCATCCTATTAGGCCAACATGAATGCAAATTACTTTCATACGCTGATTATATTTTATTGATTTTAAGCAGCCCCCCAAGTAGCAGCTGTAATGACTGGCATAGTTATTATAGAATTTATTTATTTTAAATCAGAGGATATGCTCTTAGATTAGATTAGAGACAAATTACAAATGTTTAAATAGTCTCCTTCAGGGATGATACACAACATAATCCAAACCAACTTCTCTCCTATGATAACGTTAAAAATTTACTTCAAAATTGAGTTTAAATGAATTTCTCCCTACTTGCAAAAAATTATCCAATAAAAGTGATAGTGATGGGAAGGAAAAAGCCTCTATTCAACTGTGCCAAAATATTTGCAGCCAAAGAGAACGAGGGTTTATCTTTACCAAAGCTAGCTTTGGTAAAAGATGAGCTAGCTCTGGTATCATTATGCATTCTCGTTTTTCAAATTGTCTAAAATAAATAAGCCATGGGTATGAATTGGTGTCACCATCTTCTCCAGAAACCTTTTTGACACAAGTAGCCAGGCCGGTACCATGATGCACTAATTAAAGTAGCTCAAGCGCCCAGTCAGGAGGTCTTAATAATCAGTTGGAAAAAAGATCTGACAGTGGTCATTCGGATAAACAATTGGAAAGAAATAATATCTTACTGGCACAAAGTCTCACAGGAAGCACAATCACAACTCACTCTTTCTAAAATCCTAAATAGAATTTATTGGACTCCAAATACACTATCACGGCTAAAGTTGATTAATAGTGACACCTGCTGGCAGTATGGGGACACAACAGGTACTTTGTTGGACATCTGTTTTTCTTGTCTGTTGTCTTTTGTTGTGTTGTTGTGACTTAAAGTTGCCTTTCTATTTATTATATTTATATATTTTGTATAGAAGATATGTCTTTTGGACAGCAAATGTGTAATGTGAGTTGGCGTTAAAGGGGAATTCGAAAAAAAGAAAATCTGTACAATTTGTGATATAGCATGGATAACATGTGGTAATGTGTACCCACTTCTTTGTACAACTTAAACATCAATATTTGTTTTGCAAATTAAGATTTAAGGGAAATAAATCTTTATCTTTGATAAAAAGAGAACAATACTGTTGAGAAGATATCTGTATCAATAGGAGGGGTGGTCGGCCATTAAAAAGGAGTGGGCTCAGAAAATGATTGATTTTTTTTCCAACATATTTATTGGTGTTGTAACGTAACATCCACTGCATGCAATGCAGCAGTCTACAAGAATATAATCTCAGACCCTTGATACCAGATCCCCCTCCCTCCTTTTAATTTGTTGTTCCACTTGGTGGAAGCTAATGGGGATCGTTAAATAATTAATTTTCTTTTTTAGTTAACTTTCCTTGTAGTGAAAAGTCAAAATGTCTGTGTTGAATCAATATGTTATCATGACAGTGCTCCTTGAACCAATGTCCATATGTACCAATATATTGACAGTGCAATATCTGAGCAGATCCAAAGTAGCCAGCTGAGTTGTGCTGACTGCGGCTAAATGTCAGTCTGTAGACTAACATAGTGAACATTTACTGCAACTGGCTGTTTATCAGGAAGTAGATCCAGCATGTAACTCCACTGCTGTTTCTACATTTCTGTTTCAGAGATAGAACATGTTCAAGGTTATGGAAGGTCTATCATTGGACAGAGCTCCATTTACATTATTCTGAAACAACAGCTGGGCCAATATTTGTTGTTTTCATTATTTTTGTAAAGCTTGAACAGAAGGTGGTCGATGAGCTAAAGAGAAAACATGATTGGATGATCAGTTGACGATCTGGACATGACCAATCAGATTGGACTATGTAAAAACACACCCCTACACTGAAATCTGGTATCCATGATTCCAGTGTCGCTGCAAAACTGGGCAGGAAAAGAATATATGGGCATGATTGGTGGCATGTCTTTACAGGTTTTTTAAAAAAAAATGCAGTTGTACTCCCTCCAAAATAATGAACTTGTTTTCCATGTATTACAGCTTACATACTGCCATATTTCGGGTGCAGTGAAATTCATTTAATTCTTTAATTAGAAACAACAAGGTGTACTCTTCATCGTTTGCTTTGATTTCCTGACTACAATCCTCAATCTAATGTATCGGACAAAGCATATTTTTGTATTCACTCTATTAGATGTTGTTCTAGAAGCTGTTGAATGTAACTGCTTTACTGTTTTATTTGGTCCACTTTTTTTGAAGGAATCATGTAGATGTGCATTTAGATTTTTTTTCCTTTAAAATAAATCTAAACAAAAAGAAAGCAATAACATTTGTCCAAGGAATCATTGACACTAAGGCAATCTAGTTTCCCCTTTTATTCAGAAGCACATGCCTACATTGTGATACATTGAAACACAGTTAAACAGTGTAACAATAGAACGGAAACACCATACTGGAAAAGTGAGCTATTTTATTTTATTATGGACAAACACTTTTAGCATGATAAAGGAATCTTACCATAATGTGGTCTTCGGAAAAGCCCTGGAGGAATCAACTTGAGACTAATTTGCAGTAGAATGCTGACATCTGAACCTGGTCAAGCGTACCACTTTCTATGCTGTGTTTGTTCTTGTTTGTTCTTTGCCTCAAATTTCAAACTGAACAAACATGAAAGCTGATATACAAAATCATGTTATCAAATTGTTTCATGGGTCATGCTACTATCAAAGTCAAATCCTGATTGCTCCATCTATCATCTCGCTATGACTCAGAAGTTGGTTACAGTCTTCATTTTTGTTTGGCCAAAATCTTTTCAGGTCGAGACGATTGGGGATGCATACATGGTTGTGAGCGGTCTGCCTGAGAGGAACGGGGACAGACATGCTGATGAGATCGCCAAGATGGCGCTGGATCTGGTAGCAGCCGTCAGACAGGTCTCCATCCCTCACATGCGCAACCACAGGCTGCAGCTCCGAGCCGGTATCCACACAGGTGAGAGAAGCATCCTACAAGATGCAGCCTGTCAGTTCTGTACTGACAACACAAAATTATCATTTGTGCAAGGATTGATAGAGAAGTTGATGGGTACAGTGAGTCAGGTGCTTAGCTGTGGGTGCTATCCAATACTTTACTTCAGGGAGAGAAACCTTGAAGATTACGATCAAAAAGGAAATGATTATTCTTGTTCCTGAGAGGATGATTCTCAGTGTATGTGATGACCCCTTGACCTTTCCTCTTAACCCGTTGTCACTCCCAACTCGTCAAATACCGACAGCTGTTAATTAACTCCAATGTAAACCCATCTGCATCAGTATTAGACAGTCAGAGCAACATACATATTCTAAATAACATAACAGAACGTTGGGTCAAACAAACAGACTTTCACCCAGGAAAACACTGTTTGTGTCTTGTGTGAAACTAAGTCAATGTTGACTTATTTTACCCTACTTTTGTTGCGTAAGTTAAGCAGTTAACTAATGCCGCATACGTAAGATACATTACAAGCGCACCTATTTACAAAAACAAATGTACCTATTTTACCCAAACCACGACCTTTTCCTAAGTCTAAGGAAGCCTGTTGTTCCCTAAACCAAACCACGGAAATCTAAAAACTAACTAAACCTGCGCTGGAAGTTTATTTTGAAAAGATACCATTTGTGTAACAGAACTTGACATGCCGTCACTGACACACTGACCAAGCTAAACCTAATCACTGGTTCATAAATACACTCTCAGCCAATCACATTACTGGTCTCATGTCTCTGAAAAAGCTGAGCCAATCACAGAGCCATGTAAACACACAGCAGCACAAACCTGCAGCCAGAGGCAGCAGTACTTTCATAGTTTTTGTAATTTGGGTGACCCGACCCTTTGAGGGGTTATCTTTCTGACACCCAAGTGTTCCTCTCCAGTGTCCTCCGGTCTCCTGTCGGGATAAAGGCAGAATGAACACATACTGGTTGATTGGCCATAAGAACTACAGTGTGCAGAATGATGGTATCCCATTCCCTGTCTAGACCGTGTCAGACGTGTTTTTGCAAATCTTCAATTCCGAGGAGGAATTGTGATTAATTCAACTTAACTAAATTAACTTTCTTGATTTTTGTGACAAAATTTTAACTTTTTATCTAGCACCATCATCAGTTCAAAAATGTTATTTATCCAGTTTTATGACCAAATTACATTATAACATTCACATCAGCCTCAGCTGTGCTTTGTGTTTCCTGCACTTAAGTGAATGTCAGCATGCTAGCATGCTGAAGTAAGATGGCAGCGATGATAAACATTTCATAAACACTAAACATCAGCATATTAGAGTTTAGCTCAATCTACTGCTGTGCTAACCTACAGCCTCACAGAACTGCTAGTGTTGCTGTAGACTTTTAGTCTTTTTATTGAAATTATAATTTTTATTCGAAACCCTTATACTGGCGAGGCTTTGACAATAACACTATAGTCAATATATTGGGTTTTTTCTCCAGCCCTGTTGCATTGTGGGATGGTGAGCAGCTATAGAAATATGAGAGTAAAGTCGACATTGTTTGCCCTGGTCATTTGACTGGTTTAAATGTAAATGGCTCTCATTGACCGTAGAAATAGAATGAGTTAAGTTGCTACAGCGGTCACAGTTCTTTGCAGTGGCGAAGGTACACGTACAAATGGCCGCCGGTTTGACCTGCTGCTATGTTCCAATGAATAGGAATGTCTCTTCTACTCTCATTTTATTTCTAAGAGCACAGTTCTTTTTCTCCTGGTTCTATAGGTCCATGTGTGGCGGGAATCGTGGGCTACAAGATGCCAAGATACTGTCTGTTTGGAGATACTGTCAACACAGCCTCTAGAATGGAGTCAACCAGTCTGCGTATGTTTACCTGGACACACAATACACAAACAAACTCATCTGTGTGCATGAATAGTTACACACCTCACACACACACACATAATTATAGCTGACCCTAAGTGGAAACTAGATATGTATGCCTGTATTCATAGGATTCAGTTTGACCTCTTCAGACTTTAGTGTCTCCAAGTGGTAGCATCCTCCAAAAAAAACAACATCCTGGGGCAGACGGCAGTGCATTTCTACAAGTTATACACATAAGTGCTTTAATAGATATTAGACCTTTGTTGCATGAAAATCCTTGAAATATGTACCATTTAATTCAAATTTGGAAAACTGATGGTGCTTAGAAATATGCTTTGTTTGACTTTGGCTAAACCCCAGTCGTGTTTTACAGCATGTGTTATTGTTTGTGTGTCAGCTCAGAAAATCCACACCAGCTCAGAAACCTACTTGGCTCTGATCAAAGACAACGCCTACGAGCTGCAGCTCCGTGGAGAGATTGAGGTTAAGGTAAAGGTTCCCAGCCATACTGTGAGATTCATTGTCTGTGCAGCCGTGAGGCAGTCACCCAGTGACAGTATGTTGTTGTATTGAGAAATCATTTTTTCTAATGTCATTTTAAAGATTGAAATGGACCTGGTTAAACAGTTAAGAGATATTCAATAAAAAGACTAAAACCTCGTCTCATTCTGTGAATGTGAGATCACTAAATTCAGACAGTTTTCATGTCATGTTCTAGGACAGTCAACTTATATTTACAAAGTTTACAACATTAGAGGGTCAGTTCACACACAATCAACATAAATATACCTTCTCACACAGTCCAAGTACTGTCTACATTTACATATAACGTTTTATTTTGCCAGGTTGTGAGGTTTAGTATTGGGCAGCGGCATAGATGGATATTTCTGAAACCTCGGCATACAAAACTGAAACTATTTGAATGGCTTACCTCTAGTGCCCACGTGTCAAACTCAAGGCCGAATCCGGCCCGCGGATTCATATCACAGCAGAATATATTTACAAAAGCTACAGCCCAGTGCATGCTAAAGGTACAGTATGTGAGCAGGTGTGCTTCCGACCAGATACAGACTTTTACAAATGTCAGTTTGTGAAGAAAGACCATCGCAGACCGAGTTCAGGAACTAGCAGGCAATCTAACAACACAGCTAGCTAAGAGACGAGATACATCATCTATCAATGTTTGTAAGAGGCTCAAGGCAGACCTGACTCTCAGTGAGGAGCTCTTGGATGTAGCTGCCATGCACGGGACGACGGCAGGGCGGGACATTAGTGATGCAGAGAGGTGACAAAAATAGCTTTGAACAAAGTTAATGTAATAACTTGTGTTTGATGATATTTGTCTTTGTTATTTTCTTTAAAAGTTTGATCTTTGATAGAGTAATGTGGGTTTCTTAACCCTAAATTAAAATTATTTGTTATAACAGAAATGTGCTTAAATATCATTTTACATTTATATAACTGCATGTACAATATTTTTACACTTGAATAAACAATAATCAAAAGCAGAGACAGTTATTTAACAATATGTTAGGAGTAGTTACAGTTATACAGTCTTACAGTTACAACCGGCCCTTTGAGGGAAACCATGATGCTGATGTGGCCCGGAGTGAAAATGAGTTTGACACCCCTGGTCTAGTGCTTTTGGTAGCTTTTGTAATTTGGGTGAACAGATCCTTTTAAGTTGGATTTCTCATTAACACTCATCTGTCTGGCGGGTTGGTAGTCACACACAAGTGTCACTGTTCCTCTCTTGTGTCCTCCCGTCTCCTGCCAGGGTAAAGGCAAAATGAACACATACTGGCTGATTGGCCATAAGAACTACAGTGTGCAGAACGACAGCCTGGTTTGCCACTGGAATCCCAACATGGCCAGAAAGAAGAAGACGGTGGCCGGCAGTGATGTCTCTGTGGGCAATGTGAGTTGAACTGGTTAAGTATTCCATGAGACTACCATTGGTGCTGTGTCAGAATGTTAGGCCCTGTCCTGTAGCTGTTTCCCTCCATTCCCTTCCTTTTCTGTGCTTCAAATCGCCCACTCCACGTATTTTGGTTATTCCCTACTTGTATGAAAGCCTTTTTGTTCTGGTTTCCTTTATTCATCCTCATATTGCATATTTAACTTTTATACTGAATGTGGCTCATTTTCTGTGAATACTTTGATTCTCTATTTTATTTGAGATATCCATATAATTACGTTAATTTATATGTCCATGGAATTCTGTAAATTTTCAATTTTTGTAAAATTCCTCTATATGTTCTGTGTTCTTGACATGTTTGGTATGGTTAATAACATAAGGGTGTTACTGTAGCTACTGCTTTCTGACTTAGTAGTAACTAGTGTTTACTTCAAGTTGAACTGATCACTGGGAAACCTTTTCTGAAAGCTCTGATCCCACTTTAAAAGTGCCAGAAAGCAAACAAATATGACCGCCTCACATCAGCCCAAGTCTATCATTCAAGGTAACTAAATACAAATCAGTGCTATAACGTCAATGAACTGTATCTTTGAACCTCACTATACCATGCAATCATACAATCTTCAGTCGTCCAGTGGCGTGAATGTTTGCATGTCGTGAACATGGGAGTCTTTCCCATGGTTGCGATCCATCACATGTGATGTGAACATGGCATGAATATTCCTTTGCACCTTGTTGTTTCCTGCAGTTTCACTGAGTGGAATTCCAACCCACAAAATTCACTCATTGCTGTTTTCATTCTCACAGTTGTCACAACTTCAGTTTGTCTCCCAGCACAGCTTACAAGTATGACACAGTTGAAGTCTTGAAAGTCGATAACTAAGCATCTTAATGTCACCAGACGATTTCCCTTCAATCTCACTTCCCTCCATTTATTTCTACTGTTTCCCTGATGTTTACCGTCAGTATAGCCGATAGGTAAGCCCCGTTCCTGATGCTAAACAGCAGAGGAGTTGTGAAAACTCATTGTCGTTGATAAAATAATCTTTTGTCATTGATCGGAGTCTCTATAGCCATTCAATCGAACCTCTTAGGGGATTCTCATTATGAATTTACGGTGGTTAGATGTGGTTTGACAACTCCACCCAGTGACACTCTGCAGGATTTTGGTAGGAAAATGAATGAACGTTATCTATATATACAGTATGTATATGTCATGAATTTCCCTTACATTCGTACCTCGGTGCCAGTCATCAGTGACAGTGCAGAGCCTCAGTGAGAACGCCACCACCCCAGTCTCCCTTCCGTCCTCAGTGTGAACCAAACTCCACCTCGGCCCCGGACAGACAAGCCTGGCCGGAGCGTGGCAGCTCAGATGGAGCCTTACGGCGGCAGCTACGGTACCCTGAGCTCCATGATCGGGGGGCTACAGGGAGGGGATGAGAGCCCTCTACCCAGAGTAGCAATGGGTGCCAACCCGACCTGCTGCCTGGCTCCAACCACCACCTGTAACCAGCTCAGGACTTCCGTTACTATGGGAACATCAATTAAACGAGGAGAATGACAGAGATTAGTTTGTAGTAGATAGTGTAATAACTGCTGAATTATGTGATTACTTGTCACCTTAAAGGAATAGTCCAATTCATATTTGCTTCTTTCATTTTTAAACATTTGAGTTGGAAAACCTCTATTAGAATGGTTGGTTTTCAAAATGAATCACCTGATCTCATAGCTTAACTTTTTTGAGTACAAGTGATTTTTTTCTGTGGTATGTATGTATTCTTGTTTCTTTTTTGTCACTGTGAAGCACTGTGTCCTAAATGTGAAGTATAAATACTGTTGACTTCCTTCCTTTTGATTCTTATTTGATAAAAGTCTATAGCCAAGACTTTTACTGAAAGCAGCCGGTATCTATATTTTTATTAACAATGTATGAAGTCAAATTGTAAAAACTAATGTGACAATGTGTTTGGTGCCTCTAGTGATGAACCTGTAGAAAATGATCAGCTGTAATATGCAGCTCCCCTCGGCTTTACAGAGCTTTATAGTGGCTTTTCTTCTATCGCGTCAAACGCAGAGACGAGCTTGTGCATGTTGTTTGGCCCACAAGCTCACTGTCTTAGTTGACACTCACCACAAGGCAAAATTCCTGTGCCAGCTTCTTGTTAACTTTTATAGAGGAGCAATAGAAAGCATCCTGACTGGAAACATCACAAACTAGGATGGGATGTGTACGGGACAGGACAGGAGGCTCTACAGGCGATTCAAACCACCCAGAACATCACTGGTACCATCTACTGAGCATCAGTGATATTAGTGATGAGAGGTGCCTGCAAAGAGCTAAAGGATATTAAAATACTAAACCCACCAGCAAACACACGCATACACACGCACGCTCACACACAAACAGACGTGTCTTCATAACTTTTGGGGACATTACATTTCCTGGAGATTTACCAAAAACCATAACCACTAGCAGTCTAATCCTAAACCTTACCCTAACCTTAACCTCAACTTTAACCCAGTCTTCACCCGACAATTTAACGTTTTACGTTATGGGGATGAGCATTTTGTGTTTTGGAAGGAGAGTCCCTACAATGTGACTGTTTGAACAGATGTGTGTCCCCACACACTCGCACATGAATCAGCCTAAATTACAAAATGGGCTGCTGTAATGCAGTTGCATGTAGTCAAAAATGAAATCTAGAAGTTTTGAATCTGTATGTCTGATATATTCAGTATAAACTATAGAAATGTTTTCAAAAAGCACAATTGTTTTTACAGTGCTTTTAAATTATTAGTTAGCATTTCCATCATTCATCCTTTTTGTATCACAGGAAACGTCAATAAATATTCATATACTGACAGAATCTATCTTTAGTTCATCCATTAACAAATGTATTAATGCTGCAAAAATCACAAACAATGTTTCCTTGGAGAAGTAAATGCCTTTGACAACTGCACACAAAGAAAGTATGCATTGAATTCTTTGTCTCACTGCATATACTACACTATACTCTACTGTTTCTATGTTATGGACAGTCTGTTATCTCAAAATATGACAATATCACGTCACACAACTCTTCTGTTCGTCATGCTTTTATGAATTATAGAAGTTAAAATGCCTAAATTAAAACAAATCAAACTTCAAATACAATGCACATCAATATAAATACATATATTTCAACTTTATGTATGCATTTACTAAGTCATAATTAAATTAAAGACTCATGTTGAATGACAATTATAAAGCTTGAATAAATAGTTTTTTATTGTAGCGTGAATTTTCCATGCCATGTTGAATTGCAGTGTTGTCCAGCAGAGAGCAGCAAATACCTGCCAAATACAAATTAATTTCATGAGCAGACTAAATATGAATGACTTTGAAATATTGTGAATATCAGCCCATTTTTTGATTAACTTCAGTGCCCTTTGTTTTTATCTTTTAAAGTCTATAGGCTCCATTCCATTATATAGGACTGGTCTGTAAAAAACGTCCCTAGAAGGCCCTATTGTGTGACGTGAACGTTTTTTCGTTGTGTATGTGTGTATGTTTACAATTCAAGGATTCAGAGATTCAAGAATCATTTTATTATCATTATGGAACACTGGAATGCACAACAAAATGCAAGTGTAGTCCATTTTCAACACAAGAAAAACATGACAAACAAAACAATGACAGTAGTGCATTTTTTGAATATGCATCATAAGGAATGTAAAAAACTATTCTCTGGGGAGATAATGGGGCTCAGTAGTAGAGCAGGGTTGTCCTTGAAATAGAGGATCAGTGGTTCGATCTCCAGCTCCACTAGTCCATGTCGAAAAATGCTTAACCCCAAATTGTGAATGTGTGTAAATGTTAGTTAGGCAGGTGGCACCTTGTGTGGTAGCTCCTGTCATCAGTGTATGAATGGTTGTGAATGGGTAAATGAGGACATGTAGTGTTAAATAGCTTTAAATGGTCGGAAGACTAGAAAAGAGATATACAAGTACTGTCCATTGACCATTTACCATAATATGGTCGACGTTTCAACATTAGAAATTCTACATCAATAAATGTCAATCAACTGTGACTGTGTTTGAGCACATCATGATGTCAGAACAGAGTCCACCTCCTCTGGTCCACCAGAGTCCTGCTCTCTGTCCTGATGTCCCCCCGTCAAGTGCAGCTTGATCCTGGACCACGATGGAGTCATGTCTCTGTGAAGATGTGGGCTCAACAGTCTACTGAACATCAGACAGCCAGGAGCATACTGGGTAGTGGAGTATCCTGAGGTCGTAGCAGGGTTAGCTTAGCTTCCATAACCCAGTTGCACTTTGGTTTTGTATTTCACCTGCTGAGCCACAAAAACCTTTTGGCTTTTTTCTCTTTTTAGCCCCAAAATACGCCCCAAAATATGAAAGACTATTTAAACATTAGACCTGCTGATTCAGTGGACAGTTTTAAATGACAACTAAAACACATCTTGTTTAGTATTGCCTATAGTCGCTGTCTGTTTTTTTATATTTTATAATTTGTAGAATTTAGAAATACAAATTTTCTCCCTTCCTCCTTTTGTAACTGTATGCTTTTTTGATGATTTTTTAATGTTTTTGTTGCTGAATTAAAAAGCACATGCTGCATTCTGTGCATGAAAGGTGGTATAAATAAAGTTCATTCATCCATTCGTTGACCTTAATTTCCATGCAAAGCATTTCCCCAGGTGAAAGACTATAGCTTTTATATGAATGGTGCTGTTTGTTTGGTGTTATTTTTCTGTATGAATTTTGCCTGATGAAGGTCTGAGGACTGAAACGTCACGTGTGATGGACAGTGTGTAGGATTCTTTGGTACTCTTTTTAAATCTATTAAAAGACTTAAATGAAACAACATTTTTTACACACACACAAACACACACACACACACACACACACACACTAATAACTAATCCTAAACCTGAAAAAAGAGGAAGGTTTCCAATTTACTTTTGAATGTGGATACATGTGTGACACATCTCAGGTCTTCAGGCAGTTTGAAGACAACAAAAGTAGCTTAAAGCACCTTTACCAGATCTGGTTCTTTTTCTAGTTACAACAGACCCCTCCTGCTCCTGCTTGCCTGTATACACATGAGCCAATGAAGAAGTTAAATTAGGATTCATATAATAAATTAAGATTGACTTTGGTTATTTACAACTAACTGCCTGGAAGATGTAATTTCTTCATTTGTGTCTTACCTCATCATCCTCACATTGTCACTGATTCTCTTGAGTGCCTTTTAGTTACCTTTAGTTTAGGTTAGAGTAATATAGTCCATAATGTCCGACAAAGCATTTGTGAAATTAATGTATGCTTTGAAAAATCCTTGGTTAATATATTAGCTGTATTTGCATGTATGTAACGCCACTAATGGCTATTTGTGCTTACTTTTTGGAGAAACAGGTCAGATTTAAGAAAATGCAAAGATGGTCAGAAAGTACAACATCTAGCAGGTATGAAGAAGATAAAAAAATAATAATAATGATACACTTTTTCTAATCTTCTGTGAAATATTGAATAATTTCACATCTTTGAAACTGAAATATTAGAACTCAAGAACAGAGATTGCGATCATATTTCATATTTGGTTTTGAATTGGGGACACCAGTCTTGGGTGCCCATCTTGAAATGGTGATGATTGTATAGATCTTCTGTGCTACTGAGTTGAAGATGTTTTTGAAGCACCCCGTTTCAGAATTTGTAACATTACTTTCTTGCAGCAACACCCATATTCAAGGCATTGTCTATTATCATGGCTACAACTTTGTGTTCTATATCGGAATCAGCTTTGTTAGCTGCATGCCCTACAATAAACTTGACACTGTTTCTTTGTTTTTCTCAATAAAGTTACACACTAATAGACATACAGCAGAACAAAAACAACAACAAAGCTTAAAGGTGCTAAATGAGAAATTGAGAGCATTTCTACTGGCCCTTTACACAGCAGCCATTTTGACATGTCATTGCAGGGTAAACACAGGTGTGGTTGACCCTGTTCCAGGTCTTCAGTGTTGTGAGTCCAGTCCCTATTTTTATTGATTTGGAACCCAAGGTACTTGTATGAGTCTACCCTCTTCACTTCGTCTCCTTAGCTGATTACCAGAACAGGTTCCTCTGGTAGTCCACCACAAGCTCATTGGTTTTACTAAAAACAATGTGAAGAAGCTCTCTATCAGTCCTCTGTAAAAATAGTCTCTGAGTGAAGACAACATCATTTCCAGTGATGTCTCACTAGAATCTTATGTCTATATAGGGTTTACTTATTTTGGCAAAAATTACACTCAATACTTTTTATTAAATTCCTTCAAAGGTTTCATATCATATGCACCTGGACAGACATGGATTTAAATTGTAACTTGACTGGTCAGTGGAGGCCGTGAGGCAAGCCAAAAAGATGGAACCTATAGTTTCAATCTTTAACAAAACATTGTGTTTTATAGGTTTATTAAGTTTTTTACATACAATCTCCAACTGAAAAGTAAGTTTAGCTGTCAGATAAATGTAGCTAATTGCATAAAAAGTAAGCCACAGTATTTACAATATATTTCAGGAGCGTATTTATATTAAAGATCTGCTTAAAAATAATGAAAACATGGAGTATAGAATAAATGTAATGTAACTTTTACCAGCTCTAGTTTTGATGTTTACTTGAGAGGAATATGAAGCATGATAATATGATCTGCTTAATGATTAGCCTAATTATGAAGAATTATCGAAAAAATTAGAAGATGTCATTGAGTAAAACGCTGTCATGTAATTACATTAAAATTCAAAACGCCAACACAAACAAAAAACCACACTTTTGTTACATTATGCAAGGCCTATATTTATTCTTAATTCCAAGTTTTGGTAATTTTTTATGCCAGAGTTTTATGTCTTAATATAACTTATATTCGGTGGCAATACAACTTTTTGTAATACACGATTGTCGGTATTAGTTTTGTTAAACTTTTGCTTTCAGTGCCAGTTGTTTCCGACTAAACGTTGTCCTGTTTGTGCGTCATAGCGCTGACTGTTTCTCCTTTCCAGTTGTATGAATTTGGTGAGTGCTTGGTTTCCTGTATGAATACTTAATGCAAACCACGTGGTGTGAAAGCAGACTGCAGCTTCTTTTGTTCAAATCAATCAAACCGGAGACGGGCAGAGAGCTGCTGAATCAGGAAATCACCGGTACATTTTGTTTCTTAGCTTGATGAAATTACAAATAACATGTTTTCGAAATCACAGAGATTGTACGTACGCTAAACTTAGAACGTGTCCAATCAAGAAAATATTGAAAAAGTTTTTGTCGTAGCATCCTTTCATGTAAGGTTAGTTTCCATGTCTTTATTTAGAGTGCCTGTTAGCTAACAGTAGCGAGGTAACGTTAGCTTATTGAACCCATCAGTCAGCTATTCGCTAAATCTTAAACAAGTTTAATAAAGTCTGGGTTCCTGAGGATTTGCTGTTCCTTTGCTGTACCAAATTTGCCTTCCTTGTTTGTGTAGCGGCTAACTAACTGTGCATGCTCTACGTTAGCCCGTCGACTAGCTTGTTACCCAACCATTATGTGAACAAAGAACGACAGTGGTTAGCTGGTTAGCCTAATGAAGCTAGCAGCTAACGCTAGCTACCAGACGGACACCGGTAACTTAACATGTTTTAGTTTGCAGTTTGGCGCTAGTTTCCACTGGCTGTTGGTTAGACAGCTATGGTCGAAGGTAATTTTAAAAACAAATGCTTTATTCCAATGGTTGGTTCTTGACAATAGAAGTGCACAGGGCTACTTGATTCACGAAGCGTTAACGTTCTAGTAAATTGAACGTTACTTTACACGACTACGTTGGTCCATTTAAAGACACATACAGCACCGGAGTCGTTAGCAGCCGCTGTGTGTTTGTGTGGCTACAGACAGTATAGTCTGAATTATTATCTTAAAGTTTGTCAAATATATTTAACGAAAAGCAGAAGTGTAAAACATATTTATTTAATAACAGCCATCCGGTCACAACTTCCTCACCAGTTTCAATAGTTAATAGTTTGTCCGTAGTATTTATATAAGTCAGCTGTTTCCTGTGTGGAACATCTTCTCTGTGGCACATCAAAGACACATTTCATTGGCTCACTGCGTTGTGTAATTTTTCAGCATGGATGATTCTGTAATTCATAATGTGTGGACATTCAGTCCTACTTAAACGATCCTCAAATTATGTTTTTGTCACATTATCTATAATATCTTCCATTGTCCTTGGTGTTAATATTGTTCTTTGCTGTAGCCCAATAGCACTATTCCAGATTTAAATTACAGTACAGTTACAGTCTGAATTACACAGTATTCTTACTGTCTGTATAAACTGACCACTGCCTCTTTCCCACCCAGCTTCGGATTTAAAAATGCCACGCAAGAAGGTGACGGATGTCTCAGGGAACGGTGGGATGAAAAAGAAGAGGGCCAGCGGCAAAAGGAAAGAGAGGGACTTTAGTAGTGACGACGAGTTCGACTACGAGCAGGAGAACAACAAGAAACCTGGCAAGCCCGCTGCCAAGTCCGGTCTCCAGCCGGTCACTGTGGCCGACGACGTCAAAGAGAAAATAGTGGGTTTGGGTTTGATACACTGTATGAAAACTAACCAAGGAGCTATTTCAAGAAAACTACCCAAATTATATTTATAAGTTTAAACGTTTCTTTAACAAACATTAAATTCTCACAAGAAGTCAGAATATTGAATTAGTAAAACACAACAATCTGCAGATGTATTGGTGTTCGAGTAGTGTTTTCCCTTTTGTGTTCGACAGTGTGACAGTGTCTTCAAAAAGCTTATGTCCAGTGTTTGTATATGATTACAGAAGAATAGTTACTTGCATTAAATCGATAAAAAAACAAATTGTACAGTTCATCAGTAGTTGGTTTAAAGTTCAGGAAAATAAACCAAAAAAGGCCAAATGTTGTAATCAGGATGATAAAATGATTTCCCAAATGTCAGAATGTCTCCTGAATCGGATCACAGATGTGATCCAGCTATAGTTGAACTTATTCGCTAGTCCAAACAACAACATATGTTTTTTTTATGTCATTAACCTTACTGTGTCCTTTCTACAGAAACTTGAGTGCGCAAAGGTTAAAGGTCAACTGATCATCTTTGGAGCAACCAACTGGGATTTGATTGGAAGAAAGGAGGTGCCCAAACAACAAGGTAGAATACCTTTTAATCAAATAGCTGGATCAGGTCTACAGGGATTCCGTCCCGGCCGTGGAACAGTGGACCAGCTCTTTACCCTCGCAAGACTACTGGAGGGGTTCTGGGAGTTTGCCCAACCAGTCTACATGTGCTTTGTGGACTTGGAGAAGGCTTTCGATCGGGTCCCTCGGGGGTTCTTGTGGGGGGTGCTGCGGGAGTATGGGGTGCCGGACCCATTACAACGGGCGATCCGGTCTCTGTACGACTGCAGTAGGAGCTGTGTCCGCATTCTCGGCAATAAGTCAGACACGTTCCCGGCGGGTGTTGGCCTCTGCCAGGGCTGCCCTTTGTCTCCGGTCCTGTTCGTGACTTTCATGGACAGGATATCTAGGCGCAGCCTGGGGGTGGAGAACGTCAGGTTCGGGGGTCTCGGGATCGCCTCTCTGCTGTTTGCAGATGATGTGGTCCTGTTAGCCTCCTCGGATCGTGACCTCCAGCATTCACTGGGGCGGTTTGCAGCCGAGTGTGAAGCGGCGGGAATGAGAGTTAGCACCTCCAAATCTGAGGCCATGGTGCTCTGCCGGAAACCGGTGGATTGCTCCCTCCAGGTGGGGACGGAGTGCCTACCTCAAGCGAAGGAGTTCAAGTATCTTGGGGTCTTGTTCACGAGTGAGGGTAAGATGGAGCGGGAGATCGACACACGGATCGGTGCGGCTGCAGCAGTAAAGCAGGCACCGGACCGTCTTGGTGAAGAGGGAGCTGAGCCGGAAGGCAAAGCTCTCAATTTACCACTCGGTCTACGTTCCTACCCTCACCTATGGTCACGAACTCTGGGTCGTGACCGAAAGGACAAGGTCGCGGCTACAAGCGGCCAAAATGAGTTTCCTCCGTAGGGTGGCCGGGCTCAGCCTTAGAGATAGGGTAAGGAGCTCGGTCATCAGGAGGGAGCTTTGAGTCGAGCCGCTACTCCTTCGCGTCGAAAGGAGTCAGCTGAGGTGTTTCGGGCATCTAATTAGGATGCCTCCTGGACGCCTCCCACTGGAGGTTTTCCAGGCACGTCCAACTGGGAAGAGACCCCGGGGAAGACCCAGAACACGCTGGAGGGATTACATCTCCCAGCTGGCCTGGGAACGCCTCGGGATCCCCCAGAATTAGCTGGAACATGTTGCCGGTGAGAGGGAAGTCTGGGTCAGCCTGCTTGGTCTGTTGCCACCGCGACCCGACCCCGGATAAGCGGAGGAGAATGGATAGATGGATGGATGGTCTACAGGACTGTGATGTATGCCATACGTTATTACTTTCACAATAGCAATGATCAATACCTATCATATAAAAGTAATTTGAACTTTTGTCATTTCTAAATGCAAGAGAAGACAGGCATTGGCAGGGTAAAGCCCATTCAGTGAGAGAAAGGCCTATTTTCATAACTTTACTAAAGCAGGTGCAGCCGTCCCTTTTCATCGACATTGTTCTGTGTCTCAACACATTTTACAGGTGGCTACTCGCTGGAACTATTTCTTGGAGTTTTGTTGTCACATTGGTACCATTGTCCCTGTACAGAGACCAACACCGTTGCTTACTGACTGTATTTGGCAACATACGCTGTAGACGCTGCACAGAAACTGGGAGGATGGACAAACTGCTGTTGGTCAAGAAATAGTTCCAGCTAGTATCTAAACTTACAAATTGTAATATTTACCTTCCCATTGATTTATAGATTCAACAAACAAGACGTGTTAATTAGTGGACTTTAGAAGAGTTGGTGTGTGTATTTCTGAACTTTACACAGATCCAGGCTAGCAGTTTCCCTTTGCTTCCACTCTTTATGCTAAGCTAACCATGTCCTGACTCCAGCTCTGTGCTTAACACACAAATGACAATGTTGATATCCATTTGTCTCTCGGCTTTAATGAGACCTGGAGCAGGATGACTCTCACGTAACCAGTCAATAACCATGTTACCGTGTTTGAATCAACACTCCTTCACAGGTGTGACACAACTTTTACCAATGCAGTATGGTCCCAATGTTAGCGTGGTCCTGATGCAGGGTAGTGAATAATATCCTATGATGAGATGTTCTGTTTGATGTGTGGCTCTCTGTACCTGACCCTCACTGTGGTGTACAGCTGATGTGTAGGAGGTTGTACAGCCAGACAGAATCAATAACGCATTGATCGGGTTCCCCCAGTGTGTCGTAGAGAATGGAATGACGACCACATGTTCGGTGTACACGTGTCTCTTTGTTTGGGATGCACAAGCCACATACGGATTAAAGCCAGTGAGATCCCATTAATTGATTGTGACAGTAATGTCTATTCATATGTATGCATGTTCTGTGCTGCCCCCCTGCAGCAGCCCACTGGTGCCTGGGGCGGGCTGTGTTCTGTCTGGTTCCATCCTTGCCTATCTACTCTGGTACACACTGATAAATGTACTTTGTTGAGACTGAAGGGGGGGTTGGGGGTGTCAGCAGGAGCAGCTGCACAGACAAAGACCATCTCTAGATGGGCGAGAGGCTGCGCCTACCAAACCACCAAAAACCCATTCAAACCCTTCTTTTGTAGTGCACTTGGGTATGAAAAGGTCTGGGTGGGTGTTTTTAGCACTTCCTGTGGAAGTGAAGCAGCAGTTTGTCTCGACTTGAACCGCCTCCATCAAAAATAAATGGAAACTAAATCTTTGTTGTGATGATATCTTTCTTTTCTTAACTGACTGACCTAGCTCGGTTCAAGTAACCAACGGATTTCACAATGACACACTCATCCCGGTACTGTTGCAAGGAAGAGTGCAGAGAGATTTCTGACACCCTTTAGAAAGTGACATGTATTTATATAAACCCTTAAACTAAAGGATAAGTCAGAACCTTACTGGTGATTGTGAGGCTGGACTTGTTTTATGAGGATGCTTTATATTAGAGGAGTTCATGTTGTGTTCTTTCCTCTCATACAGAGGAAATAACATGGGACAGGTGGTGTGTGTGTGGATATCATACGGTTTTGGTCTGTGTCTTTTCAGCTGCTTTCCGCAATCTGGGCCAGAATCTGTGGGGTCCTCACCGCTACGGCTGTCTGAATGATGTCCAGGTCAGCTGTGTGGTGGCTGGGCCCTGTGCTGCACACAGTCTCCTCATGACCACTGAGGGCAAGCTGTGGAGCTGGGGTAAGTAACATGCTGCACTCAGCTGCAAATGATAAAATCATTCCTGATAAAATGATTGTGTGAGCCACACCAACAAAGTTTATGAGTGAATACTGACTGTGAGGATGTGGGTCTGTGTGGCAGTGTTAGTAGTCCAGACTGGAAGGAGTTCTCCATCACTGATCTCTTGGTTTCTGGCTTCAGGTCGCAATGACAAAGGTCAGCTGGGTCACGGAGACACCAAGCGCCTGGAGGCTCCAAAGTTGATCGAGGCCCTCGCAGATCATGTTATTGTTGCTGCAGCCTGTGGACGCAATCACACCCTGGCACTCACAGGTAGGCTGAACCAGGAGGTGTGTTCCCTTCAGGGGCTTCTTGGTTTTCATCCCAGCCGAATACTACAGCAGCTGATCTCTGTCATTCAGTTCCTTCAGTTGGTGGTCACTGGTCCTCTGTTGTAGTCTTTGGTTGGAATAAAAACCAGCGTACTCTGGACTTCTAGTAATTGAACACAGAATTTGTTCGATTGTATTGGACATTATTTTGAGTTTTTGGTCATAAAAGATGTCATCCCGTTTTCATTGCTGTGTATTGTACAGAAGGGTAGACTGAATGTGAGAGTTGCTATATGCTGCTGTGTTTGCTGACGTCAGTGTTCCTCCTCAGAGGATGGCACTGCATACTCGTTTGGTGAGAACAAGCTGGGCCAGCTCGGCCAAGGCAACCAGACCGATGCAGTCCTCAGCCCAGCACCGGTGAGCCATCACTGTCACACTTATCACACTGTAGAGACGGGGAGCATGTGGGCTCATACAGACATGTTCTTTAATATGTGATCCATATGACAGAAAATAATGAAATATGCAACGGGCTGCATATTGAGATGAATACAGAGTATATCGAGTAACATTCAGTCTGAGCCATGCAGTCCTCCCCTGTGTAAGAACACATCATATACTCATATACTCAAGCACTACACACCATGAAGCATTTTGCTGATGTAGTAGAGCCCAGTTTTACTCAAAGACTTGCTCTTGAGCACAAGACTACCATTTTCACAATCTGTTAGTGACGGTATGTGGAAGAACACTAACATGAGAATAGCGCTGTTCCACCTTAAAGGTTGGTCCACCTTAAGTGAGCCTCACACAAGTTGTCATTAACTTCTCAGCGAGCACATTTTCGTTAAGTCTTTAACTGTGGCTACAGCTCTGGTTTGTGTAATGCTGCGCTGCTCTTTACAGTTCCTCAGGAAGTATCAGTGGCATGGATAGATTTATAAAATCCAACTTAAATCTGATACAACAGATGAGTTATTAAACACCTCAGGAGTTCAGGAATAGCTTCTCAACAACACTTGGGCCAACACAGCCATGTCAGTTCACAAACCCTGCATGTGTCACAGCCTGAGCCATAACAATAGCTACAGCCCCATCACAGCAATGGCCAGGCCGCAGAGAACTATATGAATTAGTGGTGTAATGGTACAGAGGACTGGTTCAGGAGTCACGGTTCAGTTTGGTACAACCGGAGAAACATCAGGATCTGTTTGTTTGCATTTATTTAGTACAGACACTAGGTTTCATTTTGCTCATCAGCAACTTTGGTTAACTATTTCCATTATAAAAATAAGGAACATTCTATATTGCACTCAACACTTACTATGGCTATAACTTAAAAGCATCTCTTATGATATGACATAAAAAAATACCAAAATACGTGGAATAATAAAAAAAAGCTTCACTAGGAGGGTTCAGTAAGGTATATTTGGCTATATTGAAACATTCAAAGCACCCAAACATTTATTGTCACATCTGGGTGATGTGGTTGAATTTGTCAAAACATTTTGGATATGTTTCTGTTGAGCAACACAACTCGCCTCGTCTCAAACACATCTCTCTCCTCTGTAGCCGGGAACCTGCAGTCCGGTCTTCCAGCTCCGGGGTTTCACTTGTGCTTGCCTTAGCATATGTTGCTAACGGCCTACAGCTAAAAGTTTTCGGGTGGAATGCGGGCTTATGAATTTTGGTTCCGCATTACATGCGTCAATCCACATCCACCGTTGAACCCCAGAACTCTACCGGTTTACAATACACGAACCATTACAGCCTAATATGGATACAAATATGGATCAGCGACGATGCAAAAAGAGATTTTGAGTTAACATAAAAGTAGGAAGCATGTTAGTGTTCCTTCTTTATAGTCCTCCTTCTCTCTCGCTCCCTCTAGATTTCCTACAATGGCCAGCCCCTGGTGAAGGTGGCTTGTGGAGCTGAATTCAGCATGGTGGTGGACTGCAAAGGAAACCTGTACTCCTTCGGCTGCCCGGAGTACGGACAGCTGGGTACGCTCACAACGTACAGACACACCTATTGTTTTTCATCTGACAGCTTTGTTAAAGTGTGTTTGAGTAACTTTGTTTTTGCTTCCAGCTGATGGATGATGCTGGAAGTTGACACCAGTGTTACAAAGAGTTATTTACATCAGCACCTGCTTATTCAGCTGTCAGCAGTAGGGAAATGTCAGACATGTGAGGTCATTTAGAAGTGTTTAGAAATGTTAGTATCGACCTATAATCAATATTTTTAAACTCAACAGCGATGTTGACGTCTCCTTTAAAAATAGTATTGGATGCTGTATTATGTCTTAGAAATATTTGTATCAAATGATATTTGTATAAAATGAGTTGTCTCTCTCATTCAGGTCATAACAGTGATGGCAAGTTCATAGCTCGCGCCCAGCGCATCGAGTTTGATTGTGAACTCATCGCTCGCCGTGTCGCCATCTTCATCGAGAAGTCCAAGGATGGCCAGATCATGCCTGTCCCCAATGTGGTGGTCCGAGATGTGGCCTGTGGGTCCAACCACACGGTGAGAAGCTCCACTTATTACTTTCCTCTGAACCGAATCATATGTTACAGTGGTCTTTACACTGAGCATTTACACTGAGCATTAAAAGTAGTGTGTGGCTTTCAGCTGGTGCTGGACTCTCAGAAGCGAGTGTTCAGCTGGGGTTTTGGTGGTTACGGGCGCCTGGGTCACACGGAGCCGAAGGACGAGATGGTTCCTCGACTGGTCAAACTGTTTGACTTTCCTGGACGTGCCGCCTCTCAGATCTGTACAGGCTACCAGTGTTCCTTCGCTATCAATGAGATGGGTAAGAACAGATCTCTGGATGTAACACGGTTTGATCCTAGTTACAGATTTAACTTTGAGGCAAAGGCTATAGATACTGAATACATGTTTTACTTCATCACTTTGAACTGACTTCACATTGGGTGTGTGCTGGTATACTGTAGGTGTGTGATCAGTTTTTTATTTACAGGGGTGCTGTTCTTCTGGGGGGTGACAAACACCTCCAGGGAGTCAACCATGTACCCCAAAGCTGTGCAGGATCTGTGTGGATGGAAGGTCCGCAGTCTGGCCTGTGGGTGAGTGCTGACTCACCCTTTGTTCCTCCCTCCGAGTGTTCATGTGTACATTTTATTGTCCAGGGTCAAATCTCTGAGGCCCCAGTACACTGTTGGACTATCTGATATTCATGTTGTCACCCCTTGCTCTACATTGATGTGCAGAGTAGTTTGACTGAGTGTGTTTGTATTGAACAGGAAGAGCAGCATCGTTGTTGCTGCAGATGAGAGTACAATCAGCTGGGGACCCTCGCCCACATTTGGAGAGCTGGTAAGACCTGAGGCCTCCGCTCATTAAAATGATGGAACACATTTACAGACTGTGGCTGTGGTGATGGAGCCAGGAGCTGATTGCACTTTGTCATTTGTCCTTCAGGGATATGGAGACAACAAACCCAAGTCCTCCACCACGGCCCAGGAGGTCAAGACCTTGGATGGCGTCTACATTGAGCAGGTAAATTGACATGTCAATCAAAGGTTCTCATCAGCTCCTAATAGAGAAGATCAATACATCATACGCCACTTAGAGTTCCACACTGAGCCATCCAACTTTGAATATGCCTTTGTTGTCTCTCTGTTTTGTCCTCACCACTGAGGGTTTGAAAAGGCTCAACTGAAACCAGACTAAGAGTCTACAGCCATGCTAGCAAGGCTAAATGCCTTTGCAGCATGCAAACATGTTCACAATGACGACGCTAACTTGCTCTTTGGTAGCAGGTATAATGGGGGCGACCTTGGCTCATGGGGTAGAGAGGGTCGTCCGGTAACCGCAAGGTCGGATGTTCGATCCTTGGCTCCCCGGGCGCTCCTCAGGAGCAGCCCACTGGGTTGGGTTAAATGCAGAGAATACATTTCCCCACTGTGGGACTAATAAGGGATTGTTCTCTTCTATTCTCTAATCTCAGTTTAGTGGGTTGGCATGCCAGCATTATCAGTCCAGCTGAGGCTGATGACAATGTCACTAGTTCTGCAGGTATTTGGTCAAATTCAAAGTGACGGTGCTCGATGAACAGTCAAAGGTCAGTTAGTCCTGAGTTGGTCATTTCACTCAAAACTACAAACCTAGTGAGCGCTAGAGGAAAAGTCATCCTCTCAGTACAAAGTCCTGCTGATATTAGTCAGTGTAATGATCATGCAGCCTCTCTGCAGCTGAGCAGAGAAACCATCTGAAAATCAGGTTACTCTAATCTACACCGGTTACTGAGATGTGGTGTCTCGTTTACATGATGTAAAAATCTGGTTTCTTCAATGTCGACGAGAAATGTTACTGAAGTGCACGTAAACACACTGACTACAACATGTTCACCCTGCCAGGACAAGTAGGTCACTTTGCTGTCACACATCTGAACTTCACTTTGACTTTGGTTTGTACACTTGTGACGAGTTAAGACATTTCTTTACAAGTGATGTGTGTGTCTTTGATCCAATGGACATGCCGTCTATTCTCTGCGCTACACTTGTTTGAGATGCACTGGCCCGTTGGAAAGCTTGAGTGACATTTGGTGTCTTTGCAGGTGGTGATGGGCTACTGTCACACTCTGGTAATTGCCAGACAGGACACTGAGCAGGAACAGGAGAGACTGAAAAAGCTGCCCGAGTACAACCCCCGAACGATCTGATCGGGCCTCCGACAGCAACACCTCAACCAGTGATGCTCATCAGGAACACCTGGCCTGTTTAGGCACTGCTAGTGTCACAGCGGGATGGTTGAGTTCAGGGGGAGGTGCTCACAAGTCCGAAGGATTTCCACACATCTCAACAACCAGCAAACAGGCTCTAACAATTCGGACAGTATAATCAGAGAAAATGGGACTGGAGACGGACAGAATCTCTGGATGGTCCAGCTCTCACAATGAACGGTCACGATATCTTCACTTCCCACCTCGAGTGAACCTGCAACAGTTTGCTCCAAGCACTTCACACCTAGTAGAGGTGTGCTTCCCAAAACCCCCGTTCCATTTTGTAATACAGCCAAACATTCATGTCTTGTTCTGTTGTTTTTCTTTGTTGCAGTATATAAAATGATAACGTTGTTTGTCACATTTACGGGTGCTATGACAGGACCCTCAGTCTTTTCCTACTGAGGGGTTTTCAAAGACCAATGCTCCATATCTGTGCCTTTTTCTACGTGTATGTTCAGGATATGGAAGTGTTGTTTGTGTCGTTCAGAGGATCAGCTGATCCCTCCGATTCAGCGGCTATGGCAGTATGAGCAGGCGTGTGCTGCTGCCACGGATTACAATCAGGATTTGAACGTCATGTTCTGAGTTGGGGCGCTCCACTCGACGGTTACATTCCTTTTATCTTCTTCAGTGTTTGCATCAAGTATGCACACCTCAGTCCTTCCAAGACCAGTGTCTGCTCGATCTCGTCTTTGCTAATAGTAACTATTCCGACGCTCAAAGCGGTTTCACAAGCAAGTCAGAACCTTTACAACCAATAAATGCACCGTCTCTAAATATATCAAGGTGTGCTGGAAATGAAGGCATGTTCTTTTAAAAACAGCAGAGGTGTTTTCCTCCTAACTGTTCTCTTTTTTTATGGTGAAATTTCTCCGGGTTACTTTGTTTTTTCATTGAAATGGTTAAATAAAGATTCATGTGAATTGATTTGTTGTCTTCACTTCTCTAGTCACAACCATCAAGTCATTTTAACAACTGTTGAAGTGTTCAGCCACCAAGTCATGTTGAGTCCTTTATTTTTTACCTTAAACTAAAATCTACAGTGTCCCTCACTGATCAACGCATCCTCTAAATACCATTTCATACAGCATCCGGAACCTCTTATCCTGTTCAGGGTGGAGGCGATCCCAGCTGACAGTGGGCGGAGGCAGGGAACACCCTGGACCGGACACCAGACTCTCAGGGCAAATTTATCAATCCATGCTCAAATTTAGGAAGAATTGTAACAAAATAGACTTCACTCAAAAGTCCAGAGCTTTCAACCACGCCTCATTGTCTTTATCAGCAAACTGATAACTTGAGCAGGATTGCTTTTACAAAAGTGAACTGTGCTGCAACACTTCCTCTGGTGGTTCACTCTAGAGGAGCAAAGCCTGCTCTGAGAACGGGATCCTGTTTGCAGCTCATCATTCATGTCACATCACTCACCTGAAGGATCTGCAGTGTTCCAGTCACCATGTGACTACAAATGCAAAAAACAACTTGACTGTAGCCTCATTGTCAAGCTCTCACTAAATCGTTTTGAAATGCAAACGAGTTATTCACGCTCGATTTTCACCATGTGGAGACTGTTCTGTCCCTTGTGACCAATGCTGTTATTGAGACGCTTTGAACTGTCTTTATAGCACCTATGAGACAGAAAATTCACATTTGTCATACTGGACTTGAACTGTAGAAGCTAACTGATCAGTGGGCCAGAGTTCACCTGTGCTGAGTGAGTTTAGTCTGTAGGCTTGTCTTTACGTGAACATCTTAAACCTGTTTAAGAGTAAACTTTGGTTCTCATGTGAGCCTTGTTGGTTGTGACAGATCCGTCTGTCCCGTCACACCCTGCCAGTAAAGAAATCACCGGGACACCACTTCTGTACTGTAAACAACATTTATTTAAATGTACAAAATCTGATGAACTGTCAAGTTAATCTTCATCTTCCTCCTCCTCTTCATCCTGGTTGATCTGGAAGTAGCGGAGCTCGTAGCTCTCCTTGGTGTTGGCCACGACACGCAGCCAGTCACGAAGATTGTTCTTCTTCAGGTACTTCTTGGTCAGGTACTTCAGGTATCTGTGAAACAGGAGACCAAGACAGACCGTCAGACTCATTACTGGGATGATGGCAGCAGTTAAATTTAATAAGCACTGCCATGCTACCAACACTGAAGCTTCAGTCATGGCCACATTTAGTCACGTTCTCTTCATTAAGTGGTTTCTTTGGTTCATTTCAAATATCCACAGGTACTGTCCCATTACTCCATTATTTTCCTTATTGATCAATCTGTTCAATAATCATTTAGTCTATAGAATGTCCATCACAACATGACATCACGTTTTGGCTGATAAACTTTCTAAAAACCTGGCCATGGCCACATGTCACAGAAAAAGCAGAGAGAATGTACCAAGCTAAAAATGACATCATGCTGTCAGCTGGATTTAATGAATGTCGACTTATTTATAAAGAAGAGTTTGGGAAACATGTTTGAATCTACACGCAATACAGCGAAAGTTATGTCGTTTGGATTTACGTTCACCGGGGATCTGACTGCACCAACTCCGCTATGCTTGGTGTGTTTGGGAAAAGCTCTCCGACAGTGCCATAGTCCCCAAGCAAGCTGAAACGTCATCTCCAAAGAAACACCTGTCGCTTCACAACAACAACAACAACACGGACTATTCTGTAGTCACACTGAGTGAGGATCAACACATTGAGAGACTTGTCATTAAAGTGTCAGCATATATGCTGTATTATGCTACAATGTGTCATTTTGTAACTTTTTGGTTGTTGGTGTGCCACGGGATCTTTTTAATGTAAAAAAGGTTGGAAAACACCAGAGACGGTCTGCAGGGAGCAGAGCTCATTCTCTAAATGTAGAACACATTGCTAGTGAATTATCACAGTATTAATATTGCATCTTATACAATTCAGAGATATATTTTTGACCCATAATCCAATTAAGAAGTCATGTTAAAATCTGTAAAGAAATTAGTAACATTGGTCTCTGATTTTCAGCTGGTATTAAAGGGCCAGTGTGCAGCCTTTCAGGAGATAAACCAGCAGAAATAGAACTGTTTTCATATCTACATAGGGAGCCAGTCCTCTTCACAGAGTCCACCATGTTTCTACAGCGGCCCAGACAAACCAATCACTGACTCTAGAGAGACGTTGAGGTTTTTTGTTCCCTAAAGGCCACCGTAGTTCTCTAACTTGCTGTGGTAACATGAGCTGCATGCTGAACTGTGGTACCTCCAGTCTTTGAAAGGCAGGAGTGAGTAGAGGCTATTCACTTGGCTGCAATCTGCAACCTCACTGCTAGATGCCACTACATGCTACACACTGACCCTTTAACACATGATCTGTATCTGTGCCTTCACATTTACACGTGCTATTAATAAATAAAGTTCTCTATTCAGCTAGGTGAATTGACCTGGAGCGTCCCAGGTCAATGGGAGCTCCAACATGACACACCTCACTCATTCTCTGTAGGGGAACGTTACCTTCAACATGCTGGTCGGGTGGTGGCGGTACAACACACAATAAAACAGCTCAATAAAAGGCCACGTCGAGGGAGCAACAACAATGTTTAACGAGGAATCCTGCAGTAAAATACCACGATGTCACACTATTATTATCAGTTACAATAATCTTTAAAGTATTGAGAACAGAACAAGTTAGAAAACTAAAGCATGTTTGTTTACATTAACATCACTACAGCATATCAAACTACTAAAATAGATTATATAAAATATAGTCCTATGATTACTAACCATTAACAGACTGTCCTGTCTGTACCTTTACACTCACTATCAATACTGTAAATACTGCAGTATACTGTGGTTCCATTACAACCCTATACGTTGGGTGAGTTTTTACTTAATGTGTCCAAACTTTACAGATATCATTTACACTTGAGATGCATCCCGATTATGTGAAGGGCTGCTTTAACGGATCGATTAAAATCAATTTAAATTTGGTCATTGCTTAGTTGGGTCTGTGTTATGATGCTCGACACGCTGTGGCAACGTCTCCACGGGGCAGTAAACCAGCCAATGCAGAGGGGTTTGTAGCTCACGTGATGATTTACAGGAAATGACACATCTCCTTCTTCTCTGGAGAAAATATTTGAAAAGAGTCGGAGGCAGAGACGGACGATACAGCAGAGAAAATACAGAGGAAAAGTCACGATCACAGGACAGAAACGATCAATCAGCCCAGGTTTCTTTGTCAGTATTCAAAGTAATAATCGAGAGATTAATGGATTATCAAAAGTCATTAGTTGCAGCCCTAATTAAGTGTTTTGCTGCAACTACACCTGAATTAACACGAGTTTCTCCTCAGCCAGACACAGATTTGATCTCTATACGAGCGTCAGTACAAGCCTATGGTGGGATACTGCAGGCCAACGTGGATGCACTAGTGTGCTCCAAAGACACTAAACTTGGCTTGGGACCTGAATGGTGGCCGGTTCATGTCCAGCGGAGTGTGGACTGTGTTTCAGTTCATGTCCTCTTATACTGCATTTACACAATATCAGAGCCTGCAGAGAGAATGCCAGTCCTCCATTCATTTGATTGCGGGTAATGTGCTTAACCGGCGGTGACGGGGACTGCAGGGGGCACTAAACAACAACAACGCAGCAGCCTGTGGCAAAAAGATGAAACAGAATTGCAGACTTTGTAGAAACCTGACTTCATGCTGCCAATAACCAGAGATCCAGAGCTGTACAACCACAAGGGAACGTAAGACATCAATAGTTGTGCAGATGCTTAGTGTTAAAGAGCTATTAAGTGACAAACACCTCCACACAACCCTGCACTATATCGCCGCAACGCCTGATTTAGTGTAAATGCAGCCTTAAGGAACGGCACTGAACCCCTAAAGCATAGTTTATGGTCTACAGAGAAGCCACAAAATGATGTCATAACCTGCACCAAGGCTCCAAGTGGTAGCGGCGCTAAGTCGGGCATCTCTGAATTTTGTTACTTGTGAGTGCGATCACGTGACTGTCACAAATCGTTCACTGATAAAAACACTTTTTACATGTCTAGGGCTTAGACAAAGAAGGCCAGTTCTTTTTGAGATGCTTTAGAAACAGGTCTTAAAAATCTACATTTGAGAAAATATTTTGGTGCCAAATCAAATTGTTTACAGGATATTCAACCTACGCTTCTTTATAATACATGCAATACTTAACATGTTTCTTTACAGAGCTTGTACAAAAGCAATAAATTATCCATGAATATGAGATACGAGTTAACAGACAATCACAATCCTCCTCTGTATTCTGGAGGTTGGTTTATGGTGTTTTGCTGGTTACACTCGTCGTCTTTATGAAATACATTTTCTTTATCCGCTCTCTGGACAACAATGCAACAAACAATGCGTTTAACATATTCATGCTCCATCTGTGGAGGCTCGCTACGGTTTCAGGTATAAACAAAGCTTTACTTCATGGCAGCCCATCTCTCTGACATCTCTCCACAGCTCCCTGTGTGTGCATGTGTGGAATGAATAATAACAGAGTGTGAAAAGGCTCCAATGAGGGATTAACAAAGTCCTTCTTCTAGAAACTCTGTAGACTCAGACTAGGAGAGCCTTGTGATGTCTATGGCCCAGTAAACTACAGAAGCAGCTGGTGAAGTGTGTTACTGACCTTTTGGAGAAGGGCACCTCAGAGGAGACTGTAATCTTGCTCTTGCTCCTCTCGATGGAGACCACACCGTTACCCAGGTTACCGGCTTTCCCGTTCACCTTGATGCGCTCCTGAAGAAACTGCTCCTGGAAACAAAGTTTATGGAAACGTCACACACACCCCACTAACAGCCATGTATACACTAATCTGAGATCTCAAAGCTCAGGTTTAATATCTGCAGTTTGTGGCAAATATAACATGTCCACTGTGATGATTACGTCACACAAGCAACTATTGAGTCTAAAAAGTATGGATTGTAGATTGTGGTATCATTTATTTCTGTTTGTGCAAAGTCAGCAATAATTATTGTATCCTAATATTGTAAACAGACTAATACAGCTGCACATTGAGAAGTTCTGATAAGTGGCGGACTTACGAAGTTGGCAGCGTCCATGATGCCATCTTCAACGGGATGGGTGCAGTCCAGTGTGAACTTCAAGACCTGCTTCTTCTTCTTACCACCTTTGCCAGTGTTCTGCTTCTTGTGCTAACGAAACACGACACATTTACTAGAAAGAGGGTTATCTACCACAACACACACCGGAACCGAGATCGTGGCGCCATACACCGCGTAAAAACGACATATCTGGTGACTGACAAACAGGTCGAACGGAACATGGCAGCTGCTTCGTCAAAACACAGAATCCGTCTCTTATCGACAAAGATGCGTTTTCAACCACAGTTGGTTTGAGAAAATGGCTGAAAACTGATAAACATGCTGTGACGCTACTGGAAGATAATACTCCTGAATCCATAATCATAATAAACCAATGTATTCGTTATAAGTTTCGAGCTGGGGTAAATTGACTTAATGATAAAAGCAAGGCGAACATTAGTTGGATTTAACGCACGGCTTCCACTCCAGCTAACGTAAACGTTCCGGTGTCGGAGCTAACGTTACAGGAAGGGAAGGGAGTCCAGCTAACCGTATCATGTCACTGACGGCAATTATCAGCTGCTGCTACAAACACAGCTTTTATACAACTTGTTAGACAAACTGCTGCCATGCAACCCTCCGGACAAGCTAGCGGAGAGACAACGTGGTGCGCTAACGTTACAGTACCGACAAACTGTCCGGCTAACGTTAGCTAAGAGGCAGATATAGGCCACAGAAAAACAGCTACCTATGTGCTTTTAACAACACTTCAAACCCGAAACCAAACCCTGCATTTGGAGCATGTTTTTTCCTCTCGAAACAAAATAAAACTGTCTTCTCATCTCGCTCGTTTTCTCTGGCGTTAACAACGGAAATCTATCATTCTAGTGGATTTGTTAACACGCGACTTTACTTACAATAGGCGCCATGGCAGAGAAGCTAGCAGAAAGGAAGAACAGTTCGTGCGCATGCGTAACATGTAATAATCAAACGCCAAACTATGGATTGAATCCATGCATCTGGGATTGATTAAAAACTGGATTGTTTGTACCTTTTTTATCTGGTCCCTGCTATTAACTATACATCTATAGAGCTGCCATGTATCTCCTGTGTATACACACATGTTTACAGGTATCCCCGTACTGCATTTTTCAACAATACAAAATACAACTGTACAGTAGGCTTGCAGGCAGGAGCTACATGTTCTAATGTTTTTATTGACACTGAGCCTCTGTGCCACTATGTGTTATTACTGCTCTGAGGGGTAAAAGTCCACTCAGGTGTGAGAGTCTCATTTCTATGTGGACTCCTTCTCCTCATCAAACCAATGAAGTGGCAGGTTCTTTTAGAACTAGTGCTTCTTTTTTTACTCTGTGATCTTCTCCCGGTGTTCAGTGGCCTGTAAAGCAGTAAAGCACTTGCAGACATTCTCCTTCTGGAGGAGCTCCTGGTCTTTTGATAGCCTTTCAGCATGAGACTTAAGCTGTGCTCCAAATGGCATACTTTTTGTTTTAGTACATACTGCAGTGGCCCTTACAAATGTACTGTTGCATGATGTATCCATTCAAGTAAACTGTTAATAAAATATTGGGATTTACTGCCTCCTCAGAAGATGGCACCTTGAACTTTGACCCTCTTGCTCATATATCTGCTGTGCAAAAGAAAAGCTCATGGTTTAAGCTCACTCCTCGTTTGCTTTTGTTTACTCACCAATAACTCCTCCAGGCTCTTCTGAGCAGCCAGCTGTTTTATTTTTTATTTTATCCAGTTGTTGGCTCACTTGGATCCTCAGTCTGAAGAAAGGCTCATCTGTCTCCTTGCAGAAAAGATTGCTCTTCGGTCTCCAGGTCTCCTCTCTGAGGTGCGAGTTGGTCAGATACTCAACCTGGTCCCAAAAGAACTTTTTATAGATAGATAGATAGATAGATAGATACAGTAGATAGATAGATAGATAGATAGATAGATACTTTATTCATCCCCAGGGGGAAATTTGTATGTTACAGCAGCAAGGATATACTTCTGCAAACGAAGTAACAGAGTAAATAAAAATATTAAGTATTAAAAAATGCACAATATATACACTAAAATAACAGAGTATAGAGAATATTACATTTAAGAATATAAGAAGATAAAATAACAAAAATGCACAGTATATACAATGAAATAGAATAGTGTTAAATTAACTAACTAGATAAAAAACAGTAGTGCAAAAATCAACCAACAGCAAACAGTGTAGCAGTGTGTATGTGAAGGATGATTTGACCAGAGGTGATTTGTTATAAAGTGTTACAGCAGTGGGCAGGAATGATTTCCTGTATCTGTCCTTGTGACAGATCATGGTCTCTGACTTCAGTTGGTCCAGCTCCAGCTGCCTGGGGCCCATGGTCCACAGATTTAGTTTCCGTGTCATATACGTACAGTATATCATTTATAATTAAACCACACAATGCAAGCATACAACTGATTGGGTATTATCCCTTATATCCCCCATATTTTGCTTTTTAATATTTTGACGGAATTTACACCATAATCATCATCCTTTACTTTACTGTAATGGAACAAATGCATTGCTAATGTGTTAGGTTTAACAGAAATCTGACATGTAGGATTAATCTGTTCCTCCCAAAGTACAACACAGTATGTCCGCTTTGTTCATCTCATTGTTCATGAAGACCAAGCCATCAAAAACGACAGCCAGTTAATAAATCATGTCTGCACAATGAGAATAGATAAGACGGAGCCTTAAAAATAATGACCTCATTTTAAGCCATGTTGAGAGAATCTTCTTTGAGAATAAATGCACAGTGGTCAGCCAACAGTTTTCAGTCAGAGTTGAACAGTTTAATACAGTTCAACTCAATGGTTACCTATACAGTAAGAGTGCAACATATAAAAACTCATCTCAGGTGTGTCATGTTGCAACAGTCAGCTCATTATTTTAACACCTTGCATACAGCTGTTTCATTATGTAACCCTACAGAGTGCACTTCACAGATATGCTACAAGTGTCAATTTAAACCCAGACTGAAAACACTCAAACACACATGCATACACCCATGCATTCTTCAACTGGATTGCAGGAGTCCAGTATTCAGTAGATTGTGCCATTGGTCAGCTGAATTAATGAAATATCCTTGTGTTCCAAGATAGTCCTGAGTGGGATTAGTAGCCATTAGCAGGCTATATATTGTACATGAGAATAGACCGTATAGTGATAGCAGTTATCATGCAGAATTCTAAGTGGTAAATTAGTAGGAACAAAGCTAACATTATCAAAGAGAAAATGTAGAATGAAGGTAACAGACTAAAGCTTTACCATGTGCTAAACTGAGTAACGCTAGGTCAGTGCCACGCTAACTCCTTAGCATTCAATGCTCAAGCCTAGATTTTGTTCATGTGATATGGGCATTAAATAATTACACTGTGACCCTGACCTGAAGAGACTAAGTCTGCTAATATTCTAATTCTTGATTGCCAATAAATCTAATGTGCAGAGCCAAAGCAACACGGAATATTTCTAACATGTTATTTGTTGTTTGTGTGTGTGTTAAAGCCTAATCCTTTTAGCCCATTTCCCTGGTGAACATAATTGTGTAGAGCCAAGTTCAGACTACACATCCTTCAAAGTGGTCAGATCGTCCACACTTCACAACTTACTGCAGTTTTATCACGAAATTGCACGCGACATGTGTCGCATGCTTGTTGATGATGTCGTGGGCACACATGTTCACATTATAGCAGTGGTGGGCCGTCAGGGCCAGCAGGGCCTTCTCTGCTGGCCTAGACACTGACAGAATCACAAAGTTATAGCTATTTTATAATTGAATTATTTTTCATGAATACACATGTATTCTAAATGTTATATTAGCTTATTATCTCATTGCATAGCTAGTCTTCCTCAGTTGCTCTGCTTCCAGAGCAGCTTGTTTTAAGTAGAGCTTTTATCCAATCAGATGTTGCCGCTATGCCCCTAAAATCTGCCCAGAATTACAAGTGAATCCCTTTGCAGTTTAAGTGAATGGGGACGATATTGTGGATTTTCATAGTTTTCAACCAATCAGATCTTTAGTTTGACATGTTGGGCGTATTCTTTGACGTGCCAGAGCCTTCTAGCTGGCCTACAAATACGACAGCATTAACGTTCGGCTTGATTGGTCAGTGGGCTAGCGTGACTGTTGTGAAACTAGCTAGTAGAACTTTGTAGTAGTAAGAGTTAAAGTTTAAAGACATGCAAGAAGTTTTTACGTGACATTACATTTTTAGCGTTTTGGCATGTTTGCCGGTAACAATCCCAATATCTGCTGCCTCTGTGGAGCGGACATTTTCAGCCCTCAAACGCGTCAAAACGTATTCAAGAAATACAACTGCTCGACTGTCTTCACTGGCGTCCATGAATCGAGAAGAACCTCTTACTGGAACTGAACCGCACCGATGTAACGTTACTGTAAAACCGTGGCATTGAACTCTTTGTAATCAAAGATAGGAGGATGGACTTTGTCTTTAAGTGAACAGCAGCTTTGGTAAGAGAACTGCTTTTGTTTTTTTACATCTGCAGTAGCGTTACTACTGTGTTAATATATCTAACTTGTCGTTTTTATGATATGGTTAATATTGTTCCCTCTGATGCGAATACTATTTGAATGGCCTGTCGAATTGTGTTATTTGGGTTTTATGTTATTCTACCTGCTTTGTTGTCATATAAATATGTGACTGGTTCTTGCGAGTTTGTTCTTGTCATTGTGTTAATTACATTGATTTTGACTATATGCATTGTCCGGTAATGACGAAGCATCCCGTCATGCTGCGCCATAGTGACAGAACGGCATCCTTTATAGTTTTGAGCGTATTCATTTATCTGCACTCTGCAGTTAGTGTATTTATAGCCCTCATAGGTGTTGAGCTTCATGTAACATTTTATTTCACTTGTCAAATGTTGCAGTGTTATTATAATATGAGGTTTTTACATGAAACAAATGATAACCCGTAGCTGTGGCGTCATAATGAGGTTATTAGGAGGTGGTTTAACTGTTCTCGGACAGCACTGAAGGTCTAGGTATAAAATAAACTACCCACCACTGCATTAGACTGGAAGACGTTCAAATCAGGGAGTACAAAGTATAAAATAAATACCCATAATTGTACATCTTATTTGTCTTAGTAGCGTGATATGTTGCAGCAAAGTGCTGTCCCATTTGTATTTACACCATTTCAAGCCCTGACAATCTCTCACACTCAACCACTTACCAGGTGACGTCAGTAAGTCCTTGAGGGTTAAGGGTTTGAGGGGGAACATTGGGATTGGGCCAGAGACTCCTCTGCCTCGCCCCCCCCCCAGCCACCCTCCAAAACACCTGCCCTTCACCACTAGCCAGCGCGCATGCGCCTGGTCACCCCCAAGATCGTGCCCATCTCAGACAACTCCAAACGAGAGTGATCTTCGCCGCTGAGCGCGAAACCTCTAGCAGTGGCCTTACTTCACCGCAGAGCTACACATATTGTTTAAAAGGTTTATTCAGATGTTAGTCATGTTGTATCGTCTGTAAAGGATAGCCATTAGAGGTGTTCCACCTGGGTCGGAGGGGATGTCCCCCCTCTCCCCTGGTGAGGTGAATAAGGGGAAGACGGTGTGTGATGCCTGCTCTTCCTCGGTCTCCTCTTCATCAGCAGGGCCCCCACATTATGCCTCAGCGGCTAATAAGGTATTAATGTCAGACTGGTTAGCTTGATGCTATAGCCACTCGGTCAGCGTACAACCCTGGCCGGGTATGCGCTAATAAGCGGCGATGTTCATCCAGCCGACAACGTCATCAAATACATTGTGGTTCGGACCAGCTGGGATTACATCTCATCCCTACGGCCTTCATTTTAGGTTTTAACCTATAATGAAGCACTTTAGAGCACGGAGCACATAAAAACTAGAAACAGTAGTTACTCTAGCTCTTATGTTAGTGCATACATTCTTACTTAGATGCTTAGGTGGAGCCTCGAGAGGGTAAACCAAAAACGAAGCCCATTAGAGGGCTACGCACAGTCATAGTACTGGAATAACATCGGGGCAACTACTAGTTCACATATTGCACTCAAGCGATCTGCGAGCGCCAACAGAGCGGATTTGACTCTGATCTGGGGATTTGTCCTGGAGCTCTGAACACTGTCCGAGAGCAGAACATTTGTGTCGTGAACTAGGCACGACCCGTCTCTTTTAAATATGTTTTGGCATGATTGACTTCCACTATTTGCTGGAGGGCAGTGGAGTGATGACAAGAAATAAAGGAAGAAACATGCAATAAAGACGTAACCAAATATGCAGCAGGTCTCCAAGGTGAAATGCCTCTGGCATGTAAGATCAAGGTCGTAAAATCACATCCATAACTTTAGCGCCTTGGTAGCCAAGTTGTGCCATATGACCGCAACGTCCTGGGTTCGATTCCAGCCTTGGGACCTTTGTTGCTTGTCATACCCATCTCTCTCGCTCCTCATTTCTATACTGTCCTCTGTCAAAAAAAAAAAAAAGAGGCGAAATTGACTAAATTAAACATTCAAGAAGCTCCAGATGAGGAAAAATAGTTGTTACCATCGCAACATAGCTCAGATACTCGGAGAAACCATTTATTTCTCTAGGGAAATAATATCTACCTCTGATTAAACACTTATTTTCTACCCTGGATAAGAATAATTGTAATGTTGTTAAGCAATAAGACAGTCTTCCAAAAACATGGCGTATTCCTAAAGATTTTGAATAGGATGATTTATTTTCTTGAACGTTGCCTAGTGAAGCAAAACATACTCATTCAAACATGGCACTTGAGCACCACGAATGGTAAAAAAATGTTTTACCTACAGAGCATCTTTGCTCCCGAAAATCTTCATTAACTTTTTACCAATCTCCCAAACACAATGGGACCAGGGTTTGGAGAGTAGATAGCAGCACTGAAGATATTCAGACAGATCAATGTGAGCGAGAGAGAGAGCTGCAGAGTCAGCCTCTCTCAAGCTCAATATACAACTCAGTCAATTAGTTGGTTTCGAACACAATGTGAGCATGACCGGTCAACAGGAGAAGCAGTGATGCAATGATAGTAATTTATACTGTTCAGGGTGGTGACTTGACACAGAAAGCAAAAAAACAAACAATAATTTATATACTAACAAAAAAGAAAAGAGCGGCTACAACAAAGGAAACAATGTCAACACTGCCTCCCTCACAGATCAGGCGAGAACTGCTATAATCAAAATCTATCATGCCACTAGCTCCGGTGTACGAAAACACGTCTCGACTAAATGACAGAGACGTAAAGAAATGTCACTTTCATAAATAACTCTTTCATATGTGTGATTTGTGTTTTAGCCTGAGTGCACATTGAGGAAGTGGATATCAGGGTTAGCCATCAGTCAGGCCATGACCAGTCTTATATTTAGTCATCTGTGAATGATGGAGCTTCCTCGTCAACTACATTTAAACAGTCCCTAAAATCTATCTTTTACACTTTTTATTCATTCTTTCATTTTTATTAAATAGTGCTTTGGAAGATAAATTATAAAAAAATACCACCTATTGTTCCCTTTACCAATGTTTGGATGCACTGGACAGCTTTAGTTCCATGGTCTATTCCATAGGGGAGGCTTTCCCACCTAAAAAGTACATATAATTAAGACACACTACTGAAAATATTAGGAATTGTATGTTCAACTGTTGCTTCAAATCAACCCTAACCCTAAAGCCATAACTTGTGGCAGAACTTTGGAGCTATGAGGAGGTGGTGACATGAAGTAGTGCATTTAGCCCTGGTGTGGAGAAACTAGGAGCAGTGGATTATTCTGCAGAGGCGGACAAGTTTCTAGGGACATTCGGCTCGTTTTTCTTGGGGGTAACTATTGTGAATCCAAGATGCCTACAGCTGCCACCCTCTGTAATGGATACAAGCCTTTCAAGACTACAGGGTAGAGGGCTGCACTCCAGACCTGTGGGAAACATCCTCGAGCTAAAGAAGCGCAACTAAACTCCCAAACCACTTTTTCCAGATGAAAACTAATGTATGTGGTACTTCGTAGTGTTGGTAGAGTCAGGTCCATGATGTTCTAGTGCAAAGTATTTGAATTCTACATATGGTTATAAATATGTATAGCGACTGCTCTACTGGTTGTAACTCTGCTTTTGAAATTGAATTTTGCTATTGGCTGATCGATTGAATTTCAGGGCATTAGATTCTCTCTGAGGTCATCACAAAACAAAACGAGTTCCATAATGGCCCAGAGGATACACAAACAGTGGGACATACAGTGGTGGCCACTTCTTGATAATATTGATTATCGTAAGTTACAGACAACAGGTTATCAGTGGAAACAATAAGCATGGTGAAAGCATGCAAACAGAAAGACAACAGAAACAGACGGAGTGGGTGTTATTGGACTACATGTAGTACAGTGGAGGTTGTGTGGTCTGGAAGTTGGTAGAAAACAGCAGCCCAGCTGCCTGCCGCCATTCCACGATCTTTGTCTGTGAGCTACAGGTTCTCAACCAGCTGCAGGGTTTCCCTCTGGAGGGCCGCCGCCGTGGCAGATGCCACACATCCGCCAGGTCTGACCTGCCTCAGTGCTTTAAGTCTGTTACGTCCTGCATCCAGCTCCTGGGACTAGTTGACACGGATGCCTGAGATGAAGGGCAGCCCGGTGGGAACCTTCTTCTTGTATTCCACATAGTCCTCAGCAAAGAAATGGATGAGGGAGAGCTCCTCCTCCTCGATCCGCTCCCGGAAGAACCGCCAGCTGGCTATCGTGTAGCCCAATATACACACGGGGTTACACAGCATGATCTGCAACATTCAACAGTCTCATCAGTTAACTAAACATAACAACCTTTGCTCTCCTCAGTAAAGGAACTCCTGTGGGAGGAAGATGATGAAGACCTACGTTTGATAAATGTGCGGGTTGTGTCCACATGCTGTCCTACCCTCACTGAGATCTGAATCAATGTGAGCCACCTTGGCATGTGGTCTGGCTGCATCCAAAGCAAACAAGATCCAATCTCAGAGCGTTCAGACTTTTAATGCTCAGCCTGGCAAAAGTCACATTGAAAGGACAAGTGTAACCACGGCCTGAGAATGTGCGGTGACATCGGTAGGAGGAAGAAATCTTGCCAACCACACCAATGACTCATGTCAGCCATAAGAGGGATGGCTATCGGCTGGAACCAGGGCGCTGCAGCTCATGGTGAGTTTAACATGGCACCAATATTCTCTCCAAATGACACTATTTTTCGTAGAGCTGGAGGTGCAAACAAGGAAGCACTGGAACATATTCTTACCGTTATCTCACTATTATGTTCAAATGTCACCAAAATTGTGTGTCATGCTAAACTAGAGAAAACATATCATTGGAGAAAATTTGAGAATGTTTCACATCATTGCTTGGCTACCTGTATGCAGACACCGATAAGAACAATAGGAGGGGGATCTCCTCTGTGGGACAAGTCTTTGCTCGTCACTGTAGCACTTTGTTGGCTTTGATTTTAAACCTTTAACTTAACAAATGATGAACAAAGAAGACACCACAGATTAGAATTAGTGATACACAATATCATGCTCAAACTTGAGAATGCTTTCTTTTGCAGTAATAACTGTATTGACATGATTGGCTGACCTGTAAACCCAAATTAACAGTGATAGCAAATCAAGGCAACAATGGCAGTAAGGGTACTATACAGAAGTACACCAAACCTACATTTGCCTGATAGAAAGTGAGTTGTTTAAAAAGGAATTTTTGCTAAAACCTGCATGTACATTATTATTTGGTCATATTTGGGAGAATTCATGAAAATCATTATGAAAACAGAGCGTCTGAAAAAATCAAACGAGGTATCAGTCTGAGTGGCAGCACGAGGAGAGAGAAACATGTTGAGCAGTGCTCACCTGTGTCCCTGTGCTCCAGTAGAACCAGCCCACATAGGAGGGGTGTCTGAAGTAGGAGTAGACCCCGCCGGTGACCAGCACGTGGCTCTGGGCCTTTTCATTCTGGACAATGTGGTTGAAGTTGGAGCCGGCCGTCAACATGGCCGCCTTACGCAGGCAATCGCCAAACATGACCAGGAGCAGGCCCACGACGCTGAACCAGTTCAGCTGCTTCAGATCTGAGAGAGAGGACAGACTGATAAGGTACTGATGGACTTCTGTTGGACTCAAGAATCCCTCAAACTCAACCTGAAGGACTGATTGGGAAATTCTGTTCAACTTGGATCAAATTCATTTCAGTTTCAAGAACCGATTCAAAAGGTCAGGAACATTCTGAACCAACCAGTAACAATTTTCAACTTTTCATTCTTCTCTGCCTGTACACCTCAAGCTGGTCTGTCAGACACCTCATGTTTGAGGAGCCAAATCAACCAGCACTGAAATCTGTAGGATTACAGTTCTGATATTAGTCCAGGACTATATGTCACACATTGCAACATAATAAATCCTCAAGAATAAAACTGAAAACATAAACCTCTTTCCTGTTTCTAAACTCATAATTCAGTAGTAACAGCAGCCCCTTATGCAACAAGTTCATCTTTTACCAGATGTTAGCAGACTAATGTTTAGTATCAGCTTTAAGTTAAGGCTTATTTTCATTCCACTTTAGTTTGAATCGTTAAGACTGAAGATAAAGATACATTTCAACATTCCAATTTCCGTGTGGCATCTTTCGTGGCAGAATTTTTATTTCACTTCATGATTTGCTTTGTAAACATAGAAGTTACTTTGTGTCACCTGCCCAGTAAAAAAGATTTGCTTTTCTACTTTTGCGGCAGCAAAGCAAATGATGCATGGACTGTAGAAAAGGACCTAGTCACCGTGATGTCACACATTGGTTTGTGGACTTACATTCTGAAACCTTGAGTCGGCATTTTGGCTATTTTGTTTTTTGCAACAAGGAATGAAACAGGGTGGAGCTACGTACAACCGAACGCTGTTTAAGACATTTTTAGGGAACAAAAATGCTACAATTAACTTTCATGAAGTGAAACACACAATGGAAGGGTTAAAGTTCTAAAACAAATCAGTCAGACAACTTCCAGACTGGACAACACCGTGGTAGCAACCTGTCAATCACAGTAAGCCCACCCTAAAGCATGCCCTGCTTTATGGTCTGTTTGACTCTAAATGGACCATAGTTTACTAAATGAACATCATGCTGTATTGAAGAAGACTTGAAACTAGAGATCGAGACCATAAACTCATGTTTACAATGTTTACTGAGGTAATAAATCAAGAGAGAAGTAGAGTCATTTTCTCATAGACTTCTATACAACCAGAGGAGTCGCCCCCTGATGGACATTAGAGAGAATGCAGCTTTAAGGCACTTCAGCTTTGGCTTCACTTTTCAGAACACGAGGTTGTAGTCTGGGTGCACCTCATGCTCAGAGACCCTTCCCTTTGGCTCACAGACCTGAGGTCAGCAGTGGGACTCTTCTCAGCTGTTGTCCATGGTACTGAACTTGGACACAGATTTTTGTCTGAAATTACTCCACATCTATTAAAGTGACTTAGATTTACTGTCTAAATTGTGACTGTGAAATGAATGCTGCATATTGTGCCTCAAAACATTCTACAAAGCAATGTCCAAAAAAGTATTGAAGTGGGCATGTCTGCTACCATTCCCACAATGCTTTGTATAGACGCAAAAGTTACAGCTGCTGACAACCTCATCTGTGATGACATTAACTCAAGGATTTAATTAGTGATCCAAATGTCAATGTACTGCTCACTAGTAAAGTGCAGTCATGTGTGTTACATTAAGAGTAATGACCTTCATCTCAACCAATCCAAACTGCTATTCTATCATTTCAAAGCACCATTTCACTATATTATTGAATATTCATGATTGAATAAGAAACAGTCAAAGTTTAATTCGACATTAGCAGGCCTCTCATAATAGCCAGTACTTTTACAGGCTAAAAAAAGATGATTGGCTTCTCAATATATCAGCTGTTGCTAAGTATAGTTAACTTAGTAAGCTGATGCAGCCAGAGATGGTTAGTGCTGAGGGAGAGTTCCCTCTGTGACTTCACTGTACTTCAGGATGACCAACCGAGCAAAAACAACGATCCAGCTGATCGAGTCGCATCAATTTCAAAAGAAACTTCCAGTGAAAGCCATAAGGCTCTAGCTGTTACATCAATGTGTCAGATACATATTTAACGGTTTTTATCTTCTCTTGCTCATCTCATTTTCAGGTCAACAGGTTTTGAATACTCGTTAGGCTGCATAGTTGCAACAATTAATTGATTTGTCGTCAACTATTAACATAATAGCCAACTATTTTGATAATTGGACAGAGTCCTTTCTTTTGAAGAAAAAAGTAAAAACTCTCTGATTCCAGCTTCTTAAGTCTGAATATTTTCTTTTCTTTTTACTCCATGACAGTAAACTGAAAATATTGAGTTGTGGACAAAACAAGAAATTTGAGGACGTCATCTTGGGCTTTGGGAAACACTTCTCGATTTCATAATTTTACAGACATTTTATAGACCAAACAACGAGGCTAATCCATTAAACCGAGAAAATACTGAACAGATTCTTTGACAATGAAAATAATCGGTAGTTGCAGCCCAACCTCAATACCACCTTGTGTTTCAGCCTTCTCAGCCAATGAAAAGTTAAACAGAATCCTTTAGTTTTACTTATAGTAGCTAAGTTACTTGCAAACATTAAAAGTCAACTCAAGGACTTTTGGTTCCGTAAACAGATTCAGATCTGACATGTGCCATCAAACACATCTTTATCATCAGATTCTAATTCGGATATTTTTAGCCCAGAAATATGTGACATCTTTCCGCAATAGAGCCACGCCCAACCAGTGAGAAGAGCTTGGACAATATTACAGACACAGAACCGATATGACTGATGATCTGGCAGTGTACCAAGTAGGACTGTCTAGCTATTGTGTCTATGTCTAGAATATTTTACACCGATATACTGTATGTTGACAGGTAAACCTTTTGCATGCTATCAACGACATACAAACTACTTTTCTGAGTGCAGTGACAACGAGACTGAAGACACACCCACCTGGAACGGTCAGCTTCTCTATAGTGAACTCCACCCATGACGAGACAGCAGCCAGCGTGTACTCCACACTGTGGTTGAGCAGGAATGAGTCCAGCGACAGGCTGCGAGGGTTGATGATGGCCGTCACCAGGTACTCAGTGTAATGGAAGAAGGACAGGGAGCACATGTACCTGCAGAGAGACATGTGTTCAATGTGGCCTGGTTTACAGAATACACATCCTGCTGTGTAAATGTGGCACATGTGTTAATTCACTTGGATTCAATTGTGTAAAAAAAATACAACAAAAACAGAATTTCTTTTAAAAGAAGTCTGTGGATATTAAGAAACGAGTGTAAATGAATTATAAATCAATGAGAGTAAAGCTGAAGTCTTGTTTATTTGAACTACGTGCCTGTGATGCCCCTTATACGGATCTGTGTTCACTGGAACCATATGTAAAATGCACTGTTAAATTTCTGGGTGTGATAATGGACGGGGGCTTCAAGTTGGGTTAGCAGATAAATGTGATAAATTCAAACATTTGTATCATTTAGATTTTAGCGAATTATACATGCATTCATCTTGACCATGCTTGTATACTGTACTGCCCTTTATGTTGGTGTTACCTGGTCCTCCCTCTCTAAGGATTGAGTTTACGATTTTATCGTTAAATCATTAAATGGACTGGCTTCATCTCTCCGACCTTTTACAACCATACAGTCAGGGCCGTAAGTATTTGTACTGTGACACAATTTTTCTAACTTTGCCTCTTTACACGACTCCAGTGGATTTGAAAGGAAGCAGTCAATATGTGGTTGAAGTGTAGACTTTCAGCTTTAATTCAATAGATATAACAAAAATATCACAATAACCGTTTGCAATTACAGCCATTTTTACACAGCCCCCCACATTTTCAGAGGCTCAAAAGTAATTGGACAATTCTCTGACAAACTGTTTCATGGCCAGGTGCGGCCTGTTCTGTCACTATTTCATGACAAATGATGCCGAGAATAGGATTCAAAATGTTGAATTAGCATTTGGTAGCTGGTCCTTGGAACTCTCAGCATACTTTTGAGCCTCTGAAAATGTGGGGGGCTGTGTAAAAATGGCTGTAATTGCTAAATGGTTATTGTGATATTTGTGTTATATCCATTGAATTAAAGCTGAAAGTCTACACTTCAACCACATATTGACTGATTAGATTAAAATCCACTGGAGTCATGTAAAGAGGCAAAATTAGAAAATTGTGTCACAGTCCAAATACTTATGGCCCTGACTGTATGTACCAACAAGGTCACAGGTCAGCTGAGCACACCTTGTCCCGAGATCACTGGAGCTCAGTGGAGACCGGACCTTTGCAGATGGAGCCCCCAACTTCCCTCTGCATGTGAGGCTGGCCCCTACACTGCCTGTTTTTAAATCCCATCTTAAAACACATTTTTATTCTCTGGCTTTTGATTCATTATAAGACTTTCCATTCTATATTATTGTCTCTCTTTTTTTAAACTTCTAGAACACTCTGATCAACTGTTGTTTTTAAAAGTGTTTATACATTTGGATTGGATAAATATGGATTGGAAATACATAGATAAACAAAACAGGCACTTAATATCAATTTAATAAGAAACAATACAATGCATTTCTACACAGCAGCATAATAATGTTAAGTAATACAACAAACTGATTATACCAAATACGTACCAGCCAAAATGGGTCCAAGTAGTTTCAGAGAAGCTTATAATTAAGCCACAGCCAAAAGTAACTCCCAGAAAGCAGGCTCTCACAGCGACCTAGAACGAGTTGGGCACTGATTAGCCCGAGTTAGACCGTAACAGGACCCCTCCATCATGCCTCAAGACTCATGCTTAACATCTAAATTACGTTATTAAAAACACATACTTAACATATTATAGACCATTTGACCAGACTACACTCGGAAATTCGGTTGTTTTTCCCACCATCTTCAAATTTAGACCAACTCTAAAAGTTTAGGTCGACTTTAGGCAAAGTAATAACGGCTTTATTAAGCGAATTTGTACCAGAAGCCTGGTAATTCCTCAAATACCTCAAGTAATGTCGAAGCAAATTACATTCGACACAAAGCAAAACACCGAATGAACACATTTGTGGAGTGGGTTCCGTCAGTCGGCTACTTCTGAAATAACATTGCTCACACGAAGAGGCCGACAGGCTTCACCTGGCTCAGGGTTTATCTAGAGACACCCCTGCCAGCTGTCTTCTTCCTCTTCAGCTAAGACGATTAGTGGACTTAACTAGCTAAAGTGGTAGCTAATGTTAGCTAGCATTAGCAGTACAACAATAAAGTTGAAATAGCGATGTAAGTAACATCAGACAGCTGTCAACTTTAGCTGGATGTAGACTGCTAAACAGCAATAACCCTGACGTGCGCTTTACTCAAAACGAGAGAAAGAAATGAGAATAAACGCAGGAAGTTGGCTACCTGACGTCAACGCTTACCTTGTATAGAGGTCCCTTGTATACGATTAGCAGGAGGCCGTTGATAACTGCAATGTGGATACAAATCACTATCTTCCCAGAAGTTTCCGTCAGATAATCAAAGACCCAGTCGAAATGTCCAAACCACGTTCTGATCAATGGGATCACAATCACGCTGAGCCCTAAAATAAATGTCTTTATACTTACTCTTCCTTCTAGCACCAACTTACTGCCTGCCATGATGGAAGTACTGTGCAACTGCTAATATCGCGATACCTAAAGGGAAACCACGTGATGTCCATATACGGTTTTCACATTGTGAAGTGAAATGACAGGATTTGCATTACACTTTTTAACCAAAGAAAACTAATAGCAGCTCAGTGGATTTCCAGCAAACCAAATGGGGTGCAACATGCCTGCAATTTTAGAGTTCTCTTATTTTCAATGAAAATTATGTTATTTTGTCCATTGATCAAACCCAACATTGAAACATATATAGCGTATAGTGCAGGGGTGTCCAAACTTTTTTCAAAGAGGGCCAGATTTGATAATGTGAAAATGCCCAAGGGCCAACAGTCCCTGCTGACATTATTTTAAACAATACAAGTAGCCTATACATAGATTGTTATTTAATCATTTTATTTTCAATGACAGCAAATAGCAATGTAACCAAATGTAAGCATTCATGTATGAACAAATCTCAACAACTATTCTGCCTTTCTTTCACATCTTGAAAGTCAGATAACACAAAGAACAAGCCATCTAAAAGCTAATTACATAGAAACCGATCAATATTCTCACCTCAAGACAATCTTAAATATGACTTAGTGAGGGTAATGAAAAGTTGTCTCACATTTAAGTTCAACACACATGAAACAGGCTAACGAAAAAAAATCAAGTTGTCTCTTAGTACACTGCTCAAAAAAATAAAGGGAACACTTAAACAACACAATGTAACTCCAAGTCAATCACACTTCTGTGAAATCAAACTGCCCACTTAGGAAGCAACACTGACAATCAATTTCACATGCTATTGTGCAAATGGAATAGACAACAGGTGGAAATTATAGGCAATTAGCAAGACAGACACCCCCAATAAAGGAGTGGTTCTGCAGGTGGTGACCACAGACCACTTCTCAGTTCCTATGCTTTCCGGCTGAAGTTTTGGTCACTTTTGAATGCTGGCGGTGCTTTCACTCTAGTGGTAGCATGAGACGGAGTCTACAACCCACACAAGTGGCTCAGGTAGTGCAGCTCATCCAGGATGGCACATCAATGCGAGCTGTGGCAAGAAGGTTTGCGGTGTCTGTCAGCGTAGTGTCCAGAGCATGTAGGCGCTACCAGGAGACAGGCCAGTACATCAGGAGACGTGGAGGAGGCCGTAGGAGGGCAACAACCCAGCAGCAGGACCGCTACCTCCACCTTTGTGCAAAGAGGAACAGCAGGAGCACTGCCAGAGCCCTGCAAAATGACCTCCAGCAGGCCACAAATGTGCATGTGTCTGCTCAAAAGGTCAGAAACAGACTCCATGAGGGTGGTATGAGGGCCCGACGTCCACAGGTGGGGGTTGTTCTTACAGCCCAACACCGGGCAGGACGTTTGGCATTTGCCAGAGAACACCAAGATTGGCAACTTCGCCACTGGCGCCCTGTGCTCTTCACAGATGAAAGCAGGTTCCACTGAGCACATCTGACAGACGTGACAGAGTCTGGAGACGCCGTGGAGAACGTTCTGCTGCCTGCAACATCCTCCAGCATGACCAGTTTGGCGGTGGGTCAGTAATGGTGTGGGGTGGCATTTCTTTGGAGGGCCGCACAGCCCTCCATGTGCTCGCCAGAGGTAGCCTGACTGCCATTAGGTACCGAGATGAGATCCTCAGACCCCTTGTGAGACCATATGCCGTTGCGGTTGGCCCTGGGTTCCTCCTAATGCAAGACAATGCTAGACCTCATGTGGCTGGAGTGTGTCAGCAGTTCCTGCAAGACTAAGGCATTGATGCTATGGACTGGCCCGCCCGTTCCCCAGACCTGAATCCAATAGAGCACATCTGGGACATCATGTCTCGCTCCATCCACCAACGCCACGTTGCACCACAGACTGTCCAGGAGTTGGCGGATGCTTTAGTCCAGGTCTGGGAGGAGATCCCTCAGGAGACCATCCGCCACCTCATCAGGAGCATGCCCAGGCGTTGTAGGGAGGTCATATAGGCACGTGGAGGCCACACACACTACTGAGCCTCATTTGGACTTGTTTTAAGGACATTACATCAAAGTTGGATCAGCCTGTAGTGTGTTTTTCCACTTCAATTTTGAGTGCGACTCCAAATCCAGACCTCCATGGGTTAATAAATTTCATTTTCATTGATAATTTGTGTGATTTTGTCAGCACATTCAACTATGTAAAGAACAAAGTATTTAATAATACTATCATTCATTCAGATCTAGGATGTGTTGCTTAAGTGTTCCCTTTATTTTTTTTTGAGCAGTGCATCTGATGATGGCTCTTCAGTGTTACGAGCCCGGCAAACATTAGCAAACTGTCTTCTTCTCGGGGCAAATGTTTTCTGCTATTTTCATTGTCAGTCTTTGATAAACTCACTTTCCGTAAGGTTTGTCATGTTTAGCAATTGCCATGGCCACGTCGTAGCTTACTTTGATGATGTTTTCATGTGAAAAGGACCGCTGCTGTGTGGCCAAGTTATCTTGGAGTTGCTTCACTTTTCTAGCACGGTCGCTCTCTGATAGCTTGTTGTAGCGTTAGCATGTTTGGTCTCGTAGTGTCTCTTTACGTTATATTCCTTAAACAAGGCAACAGTCTCATGACTAATTAGGCAGACACAGTTGTTTCGGTTTTCGGTTAAAAAAATATTGCGATCTCCACCTCTCCTGGAAGCGGCGGCCCTCATTATCGACTTTCCTTTTTTTACTTGCCGTAACATGACAGTTCAAGGGTCAGAGCCAATTTCAAACAGCCAGACAGTTAGAGTGGTGCTGCCACCATGAGGTAAAAAGAGGAATTGCATGTTGAATTTGTATGATTCATTCATTCCGTTTTGACTGTGCTGGCGGGCCATAAATAATGCATTTTAAGACAGAAGGTGCGGGCCATATAAAATCTGACCTCGGGCCGTGATTGGCCCGCGGGCCGGACTTTGGACATGCCTGGTATAGTGTGACCTTTGACATCAAAAGATATCCCTATTCTACCAATTAGCGGGCTACATTATGGAGTCAGTGAGACACTAGTAATTTCATGAATTTAATTAGCTGAATAAATATAAAAACACAAGATTAACATAATATTTTTCTATATTACATTTTCATGACATTCAGTTAAAAAAGAGCAATTGAATACTGAACAGGCTGTTGGCCTCATGTACAGATACATTACAAAGCCTCAGAGCATAGCCTGGTGAGTTCATGGCTTTGTCAGCAGGAAAAGTTATGAGCCATTTTAAATACATACACAATGTTCCTATAACTCAGATTCTACTTTCTTTGGCTGCTGGAGAAAAAACTGGAAATCTTGCTCTGTGTCTTGAAAGGCGGTGATGACGACCCTAGAAAAAAAAAAAAGTAAAAAGGATCATAACAAGGTCTCATAGTGGGAAGAAGCGTTGGAAGTTTTACTGATATTTTTATTTAAACAAACTATTGGATACATTTTAACATCAACAACTTTTACCACCCAATAATATGTAGTGTTAAAGAAGACGCAGTGGCAGACAGAAATGAAGGCTGATACACCAGCCCCACATATCTGACCCAAACACAGAGCAATGGGCTGACACACTGCACCACATTTTCACTATGATCAACCAGCAGAGGATTTCAAAGATGACTTAATCCACAAATAATTCTACAGTATCATAAAGGATACAGTAAGTCTGGCAATATTTTATATTTTCTTCTTGTGCAAAACTAAAGCTAGATAAAAGTAAAAATGAAGAGAAAAGATGCTGTATTAAATGTATGTGGTGTGTAGAATTTGTGCCACATTTTGGCAAAAACTTTTTTGAAAGTCATGGTGAATTTTTCTTTTGGTGAAACTGCGGATGATTCCTTCTAACAGCTTGAGGATGTTATCGGTAGTGAATAGCCAGTAGTCCCATATTCTCTGTGTGATGTGTGAAGCGTACAGTGATGGTGCGTTCAAACAGTTTACCGATATTTGCCCAGTTTATGGGCAAAAAACAACTAGCATTTAAAAACAATGTGGGGGCCATGACCTCGTTGTTGGTAAGTTAAAAAGCACTTTAACACTACATGTCATCATTCACCCATTCATACACTGATGACAGGGGCTACCATGCCCATCAGGACTCTAACTAATCATTCATACACCACACAGCTACGGGAGCAATTTGGGGTTAAGCGTCTTTCCCATTAACATGGACTAGTAGAGCCGGGGATCAAACCACTGATCCTCTGATTAGGACGACCCTGCTGTACTACTGAGCCACAGTTGCACCCAAGTAACCATGACATGATTTGGTGACAGAGGAGAAGCAAAATGTCACATCTGCTGATGGAGTAGAAGAAGTGGATAGGCCTGAACTATGCAGATCAAGGGACATTAGTCCAACAGACAAAAGTAAGAAGTTGAGTCAACTAAATATTTCCATCCCTGTATTTTGATGAACTCAGCTGCCCCTAGTGGCAGCAGGATGCGGAGGGAGAGCTCTGCTCTGCCAGTGCAGCCTCAGCTGTCCGGGCTGGACTCGCAGTGGGACAATGATGGCGTGTGTCGGCCCAACGTGCTGCTGTACTCCGCTCATCCCAGTGTGAGCGTAGGACCGCAGCATGGGCTGTCAGCAATAGAGGATGCATTAATCTGTCTCATTGATGCAATCTTGGAATGCAAGAGCAATATTTTAGAGTCAGCTAAAATGGGCAACTACAGTGCTACTTGATAGCATGCTGACAGCAAATAGGCAGAGCATACTGGACATTCTAGTGTGTTCTCTGGCCTGACTACAACCATTTTGTGTTCTCATTGAGTTCCTTGAATAGTTGGTGATTTTGTCCAGTAGTGCTGCAAGGACCTGGGTTTCAGCAGAGGTGTTGTGTTGGGGGGTTACTGGTGGTTTAGTAGTGCTGGTGGTTGGAGATGCACGGAGCTGTGTTATCACTAGCGGCCCCTACTGGTTAAGACTAGTGAGAGAGGAGTCAGCAGTAAGTTAATGACAGTATAACAGACGAGGTCTGTCTCGCCTCTGTTTCAATTCTACATACAAAGTCCTGCTGAGCCAAATACTCACTAGAGTGCCAAATGTAGATAATCCACTGCATAAAATAGTCCCCAACAAATACATTATTTCCTTCTGTTTAAATTATGTTTGGTAAAAACTACTGTTTTAGAAAACTACTCAGCCTTCTTTAAAAACTAAACTATATATTGTTTTAGGGGTTTTGAAAGATTTACGTCTTCAATGGGAACCAATGGGATTGGAGCTGAGAGCCACAGGCAGAGTAGGATCATGTCATGGAATCTGTTGACTACAAGAAGAATCTAAATGAATACCTGTACAATGGTGCTC